ATTCTAGATCCCTTTTTAAATCATAAAACAGTGTTCTGCATACGCACAGGAAGGCTCTCCAGAGGAGAGAAATACACCACAAGAAAAAAGAATCAAGCTCCAAATCTCTGGGGTGCTGCGGGTATCCCATAAAACATGAAGAAGTTAATCAAACACACTGCTCTGTTCCGCATCATTAATGTCACTTTTATAGATATATAAGATCTTTAAGGGACTAGTCTGGCTGTCAAACCTGAAACGCCAGGGATTTGATTGGCTACTGGCCTAATTTCTCACATCATTACCAGTGACATACTGTAAAATACTTTAAGGCTGACAGTGTCAAATTTTAGGACACACTTTCTTGAACAGTCCATCAGAAGTATTACTGTGCTATCATGTTGGGCAGAAACATCTGAACTTCCTTGATTCATTTGTGCAGCATTTCATTTTGACTTATTTAGTTCAAGTGATGTGCACTCAAAGATGTAATGAAGGATAGAATAGTGTCATTTTACTCATATTCATGTCATCATGTAGTGCTCTGTATGTAAGTACAATGAAGAGTCAAACCCTCCCCCAAAAATACACTGACTTCAGTAACCCTTATCCACAAGGATTTGCAGGGTCTCGGCTAGAAATCTTTCTTTGAGTTATGACATCTTGCACCCTGCGGTCTGAATTAATAGTCTTCTTCTGTTTATTGCCTACACAGCTTATAACCAGTGTTAGTCAATATGGCTATAAGCTATGGATTCACCACTTACACGTATCCCCAAGAGCCAGTCATCATCCATCCTTCTATCACAGTCGATACCCTTAGAATACATTAATTATGAGCTCCTCCTGGGATTAGCAAGCATGGTTCCCACCCCTTTCATTATCTGCATGTTGATATATGGCAACCCTTCTGTTGGGTTTGTGGTGGATGGGATGCTTTAATGGTTACTGAAAGTAGTGAATTATTCTCAATGAATATAGGACTCCAGCAGTACTGTGGAACTGATGATATTTCTGATCCCCCCTAAGACTGAGGTGTGTGTGTTAGGTGATGTACAACAAGTTGGCTCACTCTGGAGAGGTCTTTGTGGTGTCTGAAAATGTCCCAGCTGTATAACAGTTGATGCAGTGGTGACGTCTATTGGTACTGTTTGCACTGTTTGTCCAGTCCTAATGATGAACTGTTCCTGTTCCTGCAGGCCTTCATGAAGCAAATGATACAGCTCAGTCACACCTTCCTAATGAGTCTAAGCCTTCTCAAGTCCTGCTCCTCTGTGACAAACCAGGCAGCTTATTATATTGCAGCAGATCCATTGTTTGGGGGCTTCCAATGGTCCTCCGACCCCTCCAACATATACATGTGTATATATACATGAATATACCATCAAAAGCTGTTGCATCCATGCTCTTTGTCACAAAAATCTTGCAATTCTCTGCTCTCGAATCTCACTCTGATTCAAAGCGTGTGGCCTTTGTTTCTCTCACTAATGCCAGATCTGGCCAATTTTATAGTTCGATGCCCATCTATGTAATTCAGAATCCTCCTTAAAGTCTTTTAGCAGTCTTAACAATCACAGTTGCGGTGTTTTGGGAAAATAACTTTGCTCCAAGCAGGGACTTGATCCCTGGTTCCCAATATTAAGAAGCACAGGAATTTTGAAGTCTAGAATGACTAGCACACAAATCATGGAATCGAAAAGGACCATTGGGCCCATCTGGCTGGCTTCTTTTGGAGACTCCGCCAAACTTCTCATTATCATAGATTCTACCTCACACATCAAATTAATAATAATCCTTGCATTTCATATAACACCTTTCACATTCGGAAGATGTCTCAAAGTGACTGTATTTTGTAGGCAAACATGTCAGGCAAATTGTGCACCACCATCTGCCACCTTATATTTAAAGGTATGTTACACAAATATTCTAGAACTTACCATGCTTTCGCTAAATATTTAATAATTTTAGAGACAGGACAGTGAGGCGTGTGTCTGTGTGTGCAGAGGAGGGGATGTAGGTTCTGAGTTAGGTGAACTTGGCTTTTTCACAATTAAAGACATAAAACATAACTTTTGTCAAGAGCATGACTTTCTTGGTGCTTAAATAGATCCATATGTAAGATACAATCACCATTATGTTCTTCGTGCCTAAACTCCAGTCACTCTTGGTTTGTTTTCTGACTAATTTCTAAACCAGTTGTAATGACATTTATGTATGTTGTGCTGTGTAGTTATGACTATGGGGCCATGATGTGACACTGGTCAAATAAAAAAACATCTGGATCTACTTCTCACAACACCTCCTGAGGTCAATTTGCCCTCCACCTAAATGTAAAAAATTGACACAAAGCCTTAAATCAAACATAAGTGCACTTAATGCTGGGTCAAGGTTTATTTTACTTGTTTAAAGTATCATAATTCACAGATGCCATGAGCCTCACACCATCAGAGGATGTTAAAGGAGCACCGTCACATGAAAAAATATTTGGCAAATATTTATTCTCTCTTTACACATACATGGAGCAATGGTATAGTTTGCAGCTTTGGTTTAATTAGTTTCAGTATACTAGCTATTTGAGATATGTGATCAACAAGATGTACATTCTTCATGTAAGAACACTCAGACATAAGAGTGACACCTAGGCCCTGCGATTCTTGTTGCAGTAAATTGTGCATCAATTAACCTTGACCTTGACAATTTACCTTGTCCTTGGACTGAAATTAAATGATTGTGTTGCTCTCTCACAAAAACCTCAAGTGACTAGTCAAACAAGCAAAATTTTAAAAAGCTAAATCGCAAAGTACGTCATCAAAAACGTGTGCTTTTCGTGTCGGTAAGCTTACATTCATTTTTATGTTGGTAGCCATGAGCCAATTGTGGGCAATCACTTGTAACAGCATTAGGCCACTCCCCACTGAGGCAATACAGTAATATAATCCATACCATTTATACATGGATTTTATGACCTTCAACTACTGCGAGAATGCACCATAAATTGTATTTAAACATAAAATAGGTAGGTGTCAGTCTGGCATAGTTGGTAGCATTTGGGTTTAAGCCCCACATCAAGCCATTGCCCCCACAACATAGGTTGCCACTCCAGTGCTGGGGGATGGGATGGGGGGGCAGGGGTGTGAGTTATGCTGCGCTGATGGAGGTGCACTCCTTTACATGTGGTGTCCTGGCTAACAATCCTCCAGATAAAAATGTAGTCATTCGCTGCCATGTTGGCCAAAAATACAGTCATTCCCATTTTCTAGAAAAATTTTGTGAAGCACTTAGAGACATTATCATACTTGGGACCAGTAGGTTTTGAACTGAGATATTTGTGAATCCATTCACATGATATTTAGTACTCTTGGATTAGTGAGTGTAAAAATATCTGCTAATATTCCTGTTCCTGATCACTATCCAGACTGATAAATGTCTGTCTGAATTTCAGGTAAGAACAGCATCAAACTTTGCTGTAATTTCCATTGTCAAATTTGGGCAAGTTTCCTTACTCCACACAGAGCCTAATAATAATCCCTCCAAAAAAACAAAACAATAATAAATTGGTCATTTTCAATCTACGACTGTTTGTGGGACATTGCTGTGCGCAATTGGCTGCCGCGTTCGCCCACAAATATACAGTCAATTCACTTTACAGTGTGTTCTGTGAAGCGCTTTGGGACATCCTCCCGACGTGAAAAGCGCTATATCAAATGCAAGGATTATTATTATTATTATTATGACATGATGGATACTACGCAATATAAAGTCACCAGCCTTTACAGTAAGTCCTATGAAGCGCTTTGAAACATTTCCTCCCAAGGCTGAATAACAAATGCAGTGATTATTATTATTTACAGTTAATTGGTGACGTAATAAATTGAAGGACACAAGAGATTGAATAGGGTAGATTTTTATTTAATTTTCTTTCAGCTCAGAACACGATTCAAGCTTTTTCTATTCCTGTACATTCCTATGTTCTTGTGTACAATAAAACCTCAAATATTCTCCTTGCCTGAGGTACATTGATTCCATTTCCTTTCCACTGAGGTTGCTTGTCCACAATTTCTTGTCACCATTCAGAAACTTGCCCAAGTGGCCATTATTTATGTGCGAGCCTTGACACTGAATGTTGGCAGGAGATTTATCTCCAGGGAACATCACAGTCAAGCCTGATGCTATCCTTACCCAATCTCAACACACACCTTCCAACAGGGTCTCTTGACAGTTATCAGGCATAGGAAGACTGATTGTTTTTACAGTCCCTAACCGAGGCACAACTCTTGCTCCAGCTGAGATCTATTAATTCATCACAGGCCTTCACACTGAAACCACCAACCTGCCAGTCCATCTTTACTCACTCATACATCAGGAGAGCTAAATGCCAGACTTTTATAAACAAAATGATAAATGCGAAGAATGCACAAATTGCCTTTGGAGGAAAGCTGGGTGAATCCTTCCTAAAAAAAGGATAAATCTTAATTAAATTAGAAAAAAATGAAAACAGAGCCTGGGTGTAAGAGAGAGAGAGGAGAAAACTGAGACAGTTCTGATCTGAAACAGGGCTCAGAAGAACCAAGGAAGGAATAATCCAAGGCTGAACAAACTGAGCCAGTGCTGAAACAAATCAGCGCTATTCCGAGCCAGTGCTCAACTGAGCCAACATTGAGCCGAAACAGGGCTGTACTGACCCAGGGCTGAACCAACACAGGCAATTTCAGGCAGTGAGAAATGGGGCTCAAAATTGCAGCAGCTTCCCAGGGCTACCCATTCACACTGTTTTGAAAGGTATAGCTATCACTGGATGATAAACAGGTTTTTAGTCTAGGACAAATAATTTTTATTACTATTGAATGTTTTGGTACATCTAATATTTATAATAAGCATTATCATTAGATATGTATATCTATATATAAGATAACAGATGGGAAGCACACTTTCCTGCTTGATAAAGTACTGTGTTTATATTTCTATGTTTACAACTCATTTTGACCTTGTGTGCTTATTGATATGTTTGTTCTTCACTCTAGGCTTAACTGAGGCATTGCCTGACTTGACATTAATAAACTCGAGTCCTCTCTTCACAAGTTCAGAGACGTCCCTGCTGTGTGTTGCAGGCAGTTATCCTGATCCAGATCAGGTATCAAAGGTATCAATAGGCCACTATGTCTGTGCCCTGGTCAATCAGTCAAGGTGGCTTTTGCATCAGAATAGGATCAAAAACTACTCTTTGAAGGTTATGTGGAAGACAGAGGAGAAGTCAGATGGAATTGGAATATTCTATTGCGATGGACGATTTAAAGAAACAAGCACCAGAATAACTACTGTTAAGATGTCAGAACAAGGTAAAAACCACATACTTGCAAGATGGAGATTCTCAACAGCACATGCGGGATGTACCACATTATTTTTCGGTTACCATATAAAGCATGCTCAAGACTATTTAGCAAAAAATTGTTACCCGTAGCTCTGGAGGTTGAGACCATAAAACATTCAAAAGGGAGCTAAAGGGATAAACATTTGAAGAGAAACAATGTAGAAGTGTACAAGGAAAAGAGGAGGCAATTGGGATTGGAGTAGGTAGCTTTGGTGGAGGATTAAACCTCAGCAGAGGCTGGAAGGGCCTCCTCAAAGGCTGTCATTTCTATGATCCTGAGAATTTGTTTTTATCTCGTAATGATTTTAAAATAAAATGGAGAGGGGGAGGTGGGCATGAACAAAAAATGCAATTAAAACCTCATTGTCTTTATGTTTTGGGCCTTCATTTCCAACACATTATGTTTTCACCGAGCTAAAGATTCATTATCAGGGGTATTGCTGTTTTTTTAATCATGCGAAAAGCAGATCTGCCGTTATTCCAGATACCACCTTAGCTCCGGGGTCATTCGTTTCCTATTGTGAACCTTTCACTGTGATCAGAGTGTGACAGACCAAACCTATCTCCCAAAGGACCCTCGGAACCAGCAGTTGGGTGGTAGGGTATGTGGGTGGGAGGGAGGAGAGTAGGAGGTGTGCGAGTACCCAAGATGAAAGGGCAGAGGATTAACACCCAGATCTCCATTAAAGAGAAAAAAAAGATTATCACTATGAAATTGGTTTAATTATACTGAATATACATTATTTTGTTTTTAAAAATCCCATTTCCCATGGTCCATAGATAAACTCTGTGTGCCATCTCTTTTACCGAGCAAGGAACAGAGCAGCAGCACTGAGGTCAGGCAGGGTAAGGGGAGTGCCAATGCACATAACACCGGTGCCAGTAAAAAAAACAATCTTTTCAACATCTTTTCATCTGTGAGTTTGCTTCCTTTTTTTTTGCTGAATCTCTTCTGAAACAGAGGAAATAATCTGCAGAGGCAGAGAAATAGGAAACACAGGCAGACAGTGAGGGAGCTCAGAAAGCAAAAAGAGAAACAAAGCTTCGCTCAACAAAACTGCCATTTTCCTGTCTGCCTGAGTGTGGGCTGCTGATTTTCCCATTCTATATATCGGGAACGCTGGCATAAATGAGATGGCAGTGAAATAACAACGGTGCTGTCTGTTGAGTAAGATCATGGTGTAGCAAATGTAATGGGTAGAATTAAAAAGAAAACAAAACCCCACATCCTGGAAATCTGAAGGGAAAACAGAAATGCTGCAAACCTGCCGGCAGTCATTAGCATCCAAAAGAGAAAGATTCGAGTTTCAGGCAAAGCCTTTTATTGCAGAACCAACTGCCATAAGATGTATTTGAAGATTAAGCATCAACATATTTAAGAGGAAGCTTGATACCAAGAGAGAGAAGGGATTAGAAGGGTATAGAAGAGGAGTGTGGGAGGGGTGGAAGCTAGTGTGGAAAAAAACTCTGGTACGTACTAGTTGGCGCAAATGGTCTGTTTCCGTGTTGTGTCATTTTGTGTAATCAGAACGGAAAGAGTGCTTATACAGGACACAGGACTGCAAGATGACAAATAAAAACACATCATACACAGGGTGAGGTTAGCAAGTGGAGACAGGTAACAAATTACCCACAATAGGGGGAAAAAACAAATATGAGAACAGCAGCATGCTTGCTGCAAAGAAGGATAGAGGAGAAAAAGAAGGATAGAGGGAAAAACTGGCAGCTAAGAATAACATTTGGAAACGGGGGATAGGGTAGGATTGTTTTTCAGTTTCAGCACCAATGCAAACACAATTTATGTGAACTTTGAGGAGCTGATGGCGTCCAAATTGGGATCAGTTTTTAAACTCAAGCTCATGTCAAGAGGTTTCCAGGCCATCAGCTGCATTGTCAGAGTAGAATTACACCCAAGAGCCACAGAGGACATGGCCTCTCATGTTGATAAGAATAAGGAGGACATTTCCTCTCTGGCCACGGATCAGCCGTGGTTTGATTTATGAATACAGTGTAGGCAGGGGTTTGACACCTCACACTGCTCATGTGGTGCCCCTGTGCCTACACACTACCTCAGAATCCTGCTCTCATTGCTGGTGAATCTCAAAGTATTTTAAAATAATAGTAATAATTCTTGCATTTGATGTAGCACCTTTTCACCTGTTTCAGACATCTCAAAGCGCTTCACAGAATATACTCTAAAGTGAGTTGACTGTATATTTTGAATAAAATGCGGCAACCAATTACACACAGCAGTGACCCACAACCAGTCGTGGATTGAGTGATCAAATGATTTCATTGATTGATTGATTGATTGATTGATTGACTGATTGATTGATTGATTGATTCATTCATTCATTCATTCATTCATTCATTCATTCATTCATTCATTTATTTATTTATTTATTTATTTATTTATTTATTTATTTATTTATTTGTTTGTTTGTTTGTTTGTTTGTTTGTTTATTTATTTATTTATTTATTTTTTTTTTTGTTTGTTTGTTTGTTTGTTTGTTTGTTTGTTTGTTTGTTTGTTTGTTTATTTATTTATTTATTTATTTATTTATTTATTTATTTATTTATTTGAGGGATTATTGCTTTCATCTAACCCACTAGAATCTTAGCTATCTCTAAGGATCCCCTCCAAGATACCTCCTTTCGAGCTGGAAGATCCCTAGCTTTTCCAGTTTTTCCTCCTAACTCGTGCCTCGATCACCACAGATCACTGATCTCCTCTGAGCTACCTCTTGGTTTCAATGGACTTGAAAGTTGCCACTCCACTATTTAGAGTAAGAACTGGGAGTTCACCCAATACATGGCCAATATTCCACTCTTTTACCAAATTCTCAATCCCCCCTGTCACCCAGTTTGATTGCTGCTTGTTGCTGGTGCGGATTAGTAGCTGTGTTTGCCTTTTGAAACAGTCACTGCACTTCAAAATACAGTATTGAGCTGTGTGGTTTTGAAACGTTTTAACATGTTTAGGTATTACATCAAATACAAGTATTATAATTTAGTATTGTAGATTGACCCCGTTATAGCACGGCAATTTGTGTCCATAAACTCAGACCCACGTTTTACTGAAGTGCACTAAAAATGGCTGTGGGTCAGGATTTGTGGGTCATCAGGTTGCCACGGATTTTACTTGCTGCATGAGGAAGCATCACTGACATTACTTTTTTTGCAAAGCCAGCGAATCACTACCAGAAGCCAGAGATGTTCCTCACTTTCGATTTCTTACGGTTCCACAGTACACCCACTCTACAAAATGCCTCACACTAAATGGTGGGATGTTATAATGGGGGTCAGCATGTAATATGCAGAAAAAACATTGGAGCCAATGATGGGGGAAGTTATTTCCCTTCTCTCATTCCAATCTCATTCTCTGTATCTGATAAGTAGTTGTAGAATAAGGAACTTTATTTGCATCAAGTGAAAGCAGTATTCTTTCTTTTATTTTGCAGCAAACTTCTTGCCCACAGCCATCACAGTGACTGTAAGTAAAGGAGAAAGTGTGAGGATGTCTTTCAAGAAGAAACTTTCGATAACAGCGGATGTGATGATCTATAAAAATGGTAACCTAGCCCAGGGCATTCAGTCCATTCTCTTTCAGACTAACTGATCGCTCTCTCTTTAGTTACACTACATCATTGTTCAGTGTATAGATCAGAAACATTTTCAGTCAGTTTCCGGTTCAACGTTACTGTTTTCTTTGTTCAAATACCTGTCTGTCAATAATACTGTATGAGATGAGTGTACTTCAGGTCTTCCTTCCTACCACTTCACAGACTGATTACTCCTTATACACCCGTACATATGAGGGTAAGGCCTTGGTCCTGTTTACCTACATTTGCAGTCACTACACTTTACAGTAAATTCTGTGAAACACTTTGAGAGGTGATAATTTGCTATATCAAAGGTATTTTAAAGTTTTCCAGCCAATTGACAGGAGTGATTGCATTTCTGATATAAATAGTTGCCTAAGTTACCTAAGCACACTAGTCAGTGCTGTGATTCAGCCATCAAAATAGCCAGAGAAATGCAGCCTTGTGCTCGCTTAAATGGTGTCCAGTTTGGAAGCCTGACAGTGGATTTTACAAGGAATTTATTGAACATATTTTAACCTGCAGCTTTTCTGTTGTTTCTCGTCAGACATATTTATCACGTCCGTACCCAGACAGGACGTCAATGACACTGTTGAATACTCCATCGCCTCTGCTTGCTTGGATGACACTGGGGTCTACTATGTGCACTTGATTGATAGCTCGTTTCTAACAGCAGCATTCACCAAGCTGATAGTAAGAAGTAAGGATTGCCAGAAGATTGGTTACTTTTGTGGTATCTCTTTCCTTGGCTTTCACTAGTCAATGTCTACTCCAGCTCAGCTCCTCCTTAAACTAAATTCCATCTCCCTTATCCTTACCCTCACACATCTTTGCATGCCCATCATTGCCAGATTCCACAGGCTCCCTGGCTCAGGTCCTCTCCCTCCCCATGAATCCCTCCATGCCCTCACACCTCCCTCTTCCTGTGATCTTCTGAAGCTCATTCTTCTGCTCACGCCTTCAGCAAACGTGGGCCTGCTGCATGTTCCCTGCCCACTTCACCCCACTATCAATGCTCAAGCCTTCACCCACTTTGCCCCTAGCCTCTGAAACTGCTTCCTTCTCCTCTACACCTTGCTCCTTCTCTATCTGTCTTCAAGAGCCTCCTAAGACCTATCTTCCCCGCCTATGGTTTGTAGGCAATATACAAGAGTTTATACATTTCTACCAAAACTTATACTTTGAATGGAAAAGATTGATGTCCAAGTCGGGGAACAGGCATTTACATTTTTTTTCAAGTTTGTAGAGAACTATAAATTTGTCTAAAAAGTTGAAGTTTAACTTTGGCTGCTGAAGGGTTAAGAAGTACACCAACGGACGTTATACTCCCTGGTGATCTCTGCTATTGTCCCAGCTTGTGGGTGTTTGCTGGAAACTAAAAGCCATTTGGAACATTCCCAGTATTCCAGGAGAAAACACCATTTCCATCCTGAGGCAAAAGTGGCCCAAAATCTATCTGGTCTTAACATGAAGACCATTGTTTTAACATTCAAAACTTAGAATTTTGGAAAATTCCTAAATAAAGGCTCAATCTGGAATCAGGTTTTCCCAGAGCTCTTTTTTTAAAAAAAAAACTGTCAGAAAACAATTTCCAAGTTAAAATTAAATTTAAGAATTTTCTACAATTCTGTGCAATCTTAACTTTTGTAACGCTCTTAAGGCTGAGACCAACGTGGACTTTCAGGCCTTTGATGTTGCTCAGATATTTGGAGAATCCCATAGTCTAATGATCTGAAGGGTGAGGAAAATCTCAGGAAGAAAATAAGGATCGAGGTAAAAATCGGAGGCAAAAATTAAAGATTTGGAAATTTTGAATCAAGGGATAGATTGTGGAAACTCGAGGACAGGTTGATCCAGAATAGGAAGAAGAGAATAAATGTTGTCTGTGTCTAGTTCTATTTATACAATGTTTTGGAGTGCACAACATTTGGCTAATTTGTGAATTCAGTCGTAACTTTGAAGTTGTGCGCGTTTTTTGTGGTTCTTACAGTTTGCCAAATTCTGGATGAAGTAAAACATAAGAAAATAGATTTAAGTAAATCTGTACTCGAGTGAAATTTCTCCCCATATTTCTCTCCTTGTGAACTCCAAGTAAAATGACTCCAGAAGACAAGAACAACAACGTGCACTTAGGTAGCACACTTCACACAGGGTAGCATCCCAGAATGCTTGAAAAAAAAGGCAAACAGAATGATAGGTGCTAACCCTCTGACTGACCACCCCCATTCATAAATGATCCTTTGATTAAAATACTGAGTTTGATCATATCACTAAATGTCCAAATAAAGACTGGCCAAGGCTCTTTCCTGTTATGTACTGCAGATCCTTCTCACAATTCCAAAGAGATCTCACGTGTGGTTTAAATTCAGAAAATGATCATGAATATGTTAGGAATAGCTTTAAAAGGGTAATTGGACAATTATTTGAAAAAGAAAAATTTAAAATAGACAAAGTGCAGGGAGGAAGTGGACAAGCTCTTTCAGAGAGCCAGCAAAACGATGATGAGTCAAATGGCCCCTTCTATGCTAAAAAACTCTTTGATTCTATAATTGTACCTGAATATGCAAGAAGCAGATAGCCTCAGACTTCCCCCACCTCTCCACAATTCCATCCCCTGGGACCTTTCTTGATCACAAAGTCATGAAGCCAGGTTGTATATTCACCTTCGAGCTTGTGGATCGCAACATTTGACTGATGGTTAATGGCAGCAGTTTACTAAACAAATACTCAGGGTAAGCCGCTATCCCACTAAACAACCCAACACTATAATACGTGAGTAAGAAGTTGGATGCACGATTCAGCCTGTAGACACCCACTGAGCACCAGTGTTGAGTGGAGAAGGAACTGCCTCCAGCTTAGCTGGATACATTCCCAGTCATTGCATTATTATGAATTTCTCAATTTAAACCATATTTTAGATTCCTATATTTACTTGACCACGAGACTAAGCTAAGCAAAGTTGACTAATTTGGCTCATTTCCATGCAGTTAGACACACACATTACATCAGGAGCTGCATTGTTCAGCTTAGGAGGAAACATCCCTTCGTGAGCAAATTTCACAAAACTATTTTGATTTAATATACAGGCATAGCGGAAAGTCTTGATTGTTTTAACCCTTGTAACAGTGATAGATCCAGGGAATTTCCTGCTACCCTGGTTTAGCCAACTTCCACAGCTACTCAGGTCCTACCAACTAAAGGTCTGATATTTCACACTATCTTAGCCTGTATGTCCAATGCATCTTAAAATTTAAGTTTGCGCAGACTAAAAAACACTTTAATTTCAGTCTTGATTTGGAAGTCGAATTTACACCGTCCTTAAAAAGAAACTGATTTCCAAATTCAGCTGAATTTAAGAAAATTTTCCACTTTTCTGTGCACTCTTAATTTTTATTTTAAAATGGTCTTTTAGGCTGAGACTGGTTGAAATTCAGAGCCTCAAGCTGATTGGCTGATAACTGACTTCAAAAGCTGATTAAGTCCCAGATGTTTGGTGAATGATAGAGATGCCTCCCAGATGCTTTAAAACATCAAACGAGAACCTTTCACCATTTTGCATTTTAACTCATAAAGTCATCACCAGAAAAATGAATGACAATTCCAATGCATTTCCATTTAATTTTCAATGTAAAGTTATTACTTATCTTTATTTCAATTTGAGCAATTTGAGATATCCCCTTGACGTGGCAGAAGCAGAAAGCACATCGGCATCTATCAGCATCAACATTCAATTAGCATTGGACCTGATATCTTAATACAGCCCTGGCCCACTCATAAATCATTCAGTTGAGCCTGTCTGACTGATAAATATTATTGCCAGCAGCTCCCTGATGGGTATTCCTGGAATTTCAATTGGTATGTAGGGCGTATACATTCTGCCTGGGTCCAAGATTCACTCCGTTTTCTTAGCATTTCACAATGTTCAGGAGTTACCAAATTCTTAAATACAGTCTTCATCTTGAAGCTGATTTGCCAATTTCTGGCAAATAAAAATGCTAAGAAGATAGAGTAAATCTCGATCCAGGTGGATTTTCTAACCAACAGGGGTTTATCTTACTTTATTCCTTATCAGATTGCTTTGTTAAAAAATCAGGAAGTTCATGATGTGACCAGTGGGAACTTCACTCCTATCTTCAGAGTGGCATTCTCTTGAGTCGGAATGATATATGTAACAAGACTCAAATCAATTCCAGTGACAAAATTCTTTATAAGCTACTGCGAAGTTGACCCTATGTTATCAGTGAAAAATGAATGATAAATATCAGAATTGGCCTCAATGGTGTGTTTTACTCCATTTAATTTGTCAGCAAGACCACGAATAACAGGGATAATGGTATAAATTCCATATCAACCTGTTCATGACCTCCACTCAGTGGGCTCCAGCCTGCTCCATGTCTGCACACATGGCGGTTGGACCTTCTGCCTTTCTGACCACACTCTGTGGAACTCCATCCTCCAGGCCCTTCGCCCTGCCCTACCCACCCCCTTCCCTCCTTCAAGGTTCGTCTCAAGACCCTCCTCTTCAACCGTACCTTTAGTCACCCTCCTACTCCTACCCTCTCTGCCATCCACCCTTCCTGATCCCAACCACCAGTTTGAGTCTGAATCCTTGACTGTCCAGCGCCTAGGGACTCCTCCCAATGTGAAAGGTGCTATATGAATGTAATTTGTTGTTGTTTATTGTAAACAGTAGATTTATGTTTTTAATAACCACATTCGAAATACCTCATGACATATTTTAGGTGCCTCTAGAAACCTGTTTAAATTGAAAACTAAATCAAGTACAGTATGTCTCTAGTAGGTTTAAAGTGTCATTGAGATTGCTGGTCGTAGTAGTCGTAGCTGGTGTGAATTTAAATGAAGATTACTCAATGATATTAAGCATTTAATATTACCATTAAAGGATGTGAAGCTCAGAAGTGGGGCACTGACTGCACAAACACCTGCCCAATGTGCCTGAACAGAGGTGTTTGTCATGATGAGGTGGGAGAGTGCATATGTCCACCTGGTTTCATGGGGGAACAATGCGAAACTGGTAAGAAATTCACAAACCGTGTAAAAGTTACATTTGTTAAATGTGTATTCTCACCGTGTACTGTGTACTGCTGAAGATGTACTCAAAGTGTAGAAAATATCATTGGTGGTGTTTTTTTAATCTTGTATTCTGAAAAGATTAATTCTGTATATTCTTATATTCTCGTATCTGCACATTAGCAGAAATAACATTGTAATGTTAAGTTTCACACCTCTTGTCCAGCTGAGATGACCCTATCTTCTGATTCTGTTGACTGGCAGAGTTGAAGACTTTGTTACATTTATCTCTCATGAGTATGCATTCCCCTGCATTGGCAGAGGTACCATGACACGATAACGCTAGGTCCTGTATGTCCGTTCAGGTGGATGTTAAATATCCCATGATAATATTCAAAAAAGAAGGGAGTTTCTCCCCTGGCTTACCATCCCTCAATTAAAATTGATCATCACTTTATGGCTGCTTGTATGACGTTGCTGGGTGCGAAATGGGCTGCCGTGTCAACTGCAAATTCACAGTCACTACACCTTGGCAGTAAACATCCTGTAAATTGCTTCTGAGATGTTTTGGCAATGTGATAAGGCACCATATTATGTGCAAGTATGATTATTACCAGTTACCACTTCTTTCTCCTGTTTAATATACTTCAAATGAGACGTCACCAGCAAAACTAACTACACTTTACAATACATCCTGTGAAGGACTTTGAGATATCCTTCTGACATGAAAGGTGCTGTACCTTGCAAAAAAAAGTATCATGGACCATTGTCATAGAACTATTTTTATCTGTTGTACTGTAATACCTTTATATATTAATTATTACTATCAAATTGTAAGTTATAAAATTACACAATTTGGAACTTTGTACAAATGAAATGCAAAGCCTCTGTGTGATTTACGTCCTTTTCCTTTTAATTTCAGCCTGTGAACAAGGTGCTTATGGCAGAAACTGCAGAGAAACCTGCAAAGAAGGAAACTGCAGTTTCTCTGTTTTCTGCCTTCCGGATCCTTACGGGTGCTCCTGTGCCACTGGATGGAAAGGGCTTCAGTGTGATGAAGGTATTTGTGGGCATAACAACAACAACAAAATTACATTTGTATAGCACCTTTCATGTTGATAAATTGATAAATGGATGTCATGACCCGAGCTGGGGGTTGGGATCAGGGAGGATGGAGGGCAGGGGGGGAAGGAGGGTGACTCAAGGCATGGTTGAAGAGGAGTGTTTTGAGATGGGTCTTAAAGGAAGCAAGGGAGGGGGTGAGGCGAAGGGACTGCGGCATTCCAGAGGGTTGGGGCAGAATGGCTGAAGGCCCATCCGCCAATGGTGGGGCAGGCGAGGCGGGGTCGTGAAGCAGACTGGAGCCTGCTAAGCGGAGCAAGCGAGCGGGTTGGTAAGGGGTTAGGAAGTTGTAGAGGTAGGAGGGAGCAAGGCCATGGAGGGCTTTGAAACTGAGGGCCACGATCTTGAACTGTATCCTCTGTGTGATGGGAAGCCAGTGGAGTCGGGTGAGGATGGGGGTGATAGAGTCATGGAGTCTGGTGCAGGAGAGGACACAGGTTTCAGAGTTCTGGATGATCCATAGCCTATGGAGGGAGGAGTTGGGGAGGCCGACAAGCAGGGAGTTTGGTGTGAGACAGTGGCAGAGCCGGGCGACGTTGCAGAGGTGGGAGAAGGCAGAGCGGGTCATGACACAATGTGGGGTACAAAGGATAGTTGAGGGTCAAACAACAACAACAAAATTGCATGTGTATAGCACCTTTCATGTCGGGAGGATGTCCCACGACGCCAAGGTTCCAGACTGGCTCAGTGAGGTGGAGTGTGCATCCCTGGATGGTGATGCTGTGAGTGCCTGAGGTGTGGAGGTGCTGACGGGAGCCAATCAGGAGGGCCTCAGTCTTGTTGATGTTCAACTGTAAAAAATTAACTCTCATCCAAGACTTGATGTCTGACAGACATTCTGTCAGGTCAGCAGTAGTCCTGGAGTCGAGGGTGGGGGCAGAGAGATACAGTTGAGTGTCATCCACATAATGTGGAAGTTTGGCACTTTGACCAAAGCTGTTTCTGTGCTATGGATGGCACGGAAACCCGATTGGAGGACCTCGTGCAGGGACTGGTGGGAGAGGGAGGAGCAAAGCTGGGAAGCAACAACTTATTCCAGGACCTTGGAAAGCAGGGCATGAAATATTGCATAAGTATGAAAGGAGTGCAAAAGCATGAGTGCATGAGAATAATAAGCCACCTTTCAAAGACTCCATTTATATTAGTACTGTATTGCATTCCATTCCCCCAAACACTAATACTATATTACAATGGGTTTCATTGTAGATATCAGCCTGGCTCATTTAGGAGGATTTTTGCCTCTGGATCAGAAGGTTATGGGTTAAAAACCCAGCGTCAGGAATTGAACTCATAATCTACCTTGACACACCGATGTAGTATTGGGATAACATTCATTGTCAGAGGTGATAATTTGGATAAGACATTAAACTGAGGTTCTGCATGCTTATTGATCGGGTGGATAAAATCCTATGGCACCATTCAAAAAGACAAACGGTGTCCTGGGTGTCAGTCCTACAGATAAATTGATCATGTTTTTTGAACACTTACTGTGCACAAAAACTGACTGCTATGTATCTCCCTGAAATATTACAGGTTTCAACAAGTACTTTGAGAAGTTTAACGTTCTTGGCCAGTAAAACCACTTTTGTGCAGCACTTAATAGCACACAACAACAACAACAAGATTCCATTTATAAAGCGCCTTTCACGTCAGGAGGACGTCCCAAGGCGCTGCACACGACAATGTATCCTTGATGTATACTAATATAAAACTGTTGGATTGCAATTTGTTGAAACATTCCTCCTTTTTATTTTCAGCTTGTGATCCTGGGTTTTATGGGCCCGGCTGCCAGCTGAGGTGTGAGTGTGACAACGAGGGAACATGCGACAGCTTCCGAGGCTGCTTGTGTCCCCAAGGGTGGCATGGCTTACATTGTGAGAAAGAAGGTAAAGCAAGGTACATTGTAACCAGGGAATGACTTTAGGCTAAAGAAGATACTATGGAAAGAAAAGCTGACTCTTAGATAATAGAAGATACACCAGTGATGCTATTAGCTTGTGTTAGAACCCAGTGGGATTGGATTTCTTGACAAATATGGCTGCCAGTGCCTTCAAAGTCAAATAATTGGGATGACAAATAAATATGCTGAGCAATTTGATGGCAATGCTAATGTATCAATCTGTTTTCTTCAGCCTTCATATCACCCTAATGAGGTTCAGGAACTGATCTGTTTGAAAATGTGAAATTCAGATCTGTTGACAAATGTGCCACTAAATGTTTACTTAGAAACTGTTTTTTCAGTGACTGAAGTAAAGTTTCCTCCAACACACTGTCTCCTTCAAAATCCATCGCTTCCCTTTCAGACAGTCACCGTTCCCTAAATCCATTCCATTTCTCTGAGATATTCTTTGTTCCCTAAATCTCATTAGTTCCCTTGAGATATTCCCATTCCTTTCCTAAATTTTCAACTTTCCTAAATTGCATCGCTTCTCTCCGAGACAGTCTTTGCTCTTCCTTGAAAACCTCTTAGGCCTCCTTATAATCCAGGCAATACCTGACCAGAGAGTGTTTCATAATGATAATTTACCATAAATGCAAATGTCTGTTTCTAGCAGTGAATACTGCAAGACATAAATTCACCAAAATTATTTACATACACCTAAGAATTAAGTACAAAGAAAACAACAGTGTTGGATATTTTTATTTCCATTTTTACAGTCTATTATTGGTGACCAGTGCAATGCTTCATCAGTGAAGGTTTGTAAAACACTTTCCTTGTTTGTAAATATGATTGTCTCTTTCAGGGGTTGGAAACATGCCTCCTCAGGTGGTGAATACCATTGACAATATTGAAGTGAACTCGGGTATTACCTTACACCTCAACTGTACTGCAACAGGCCGCCCATTGCCCATTCATGGCAATATTCACCTTATAAAGCCTAGTGGAAGAGAGGTTCATGTAAGTTCTTTGGGACACTAGGTCTGTTAATTCATCAATCCAACCCGTGTTTACTATTGTTTTCTGTGAGACACGTTAGTACCAAGAAATCGACCACTTTCTTATTTTTGGCACTCAATATCCAGAACTCTTAGAAAAAGAAAAGCAGCATGATTAGATGCAGAGTAAACTATCTCAGCCCCAACTCGGAAGAACACCTCCTACTACACTTGGGACACTGTAGACCGACTCAAACTATTCCTTGCTCACTGCAGCTGCCTTGTGGTCTATGTGAGTGAGATTATCACCTCCTAGGTTTGCAAGCCATCTGTCTCTCCTCTCAGTAGAGGAATGAACTGTGCTGTTAGGGGAAATATGCACCGATAACATAATGTCCTTTGTAATTAGTTGCTTAGTATCACTGGATAAACGTAGTGGACAATCATTTATACTTCAGTGTAGCTGCCCTTGAACATTATTATACACTTATTAATAAATGTATTGTGTACATTTTTGGTTGCCAGAATATAAGGAGGCTGCCCAGACCCTAGAGGCACCAACAACAAATTACATTTGTAAAGTGCCTTTCACATCAAGAGACATCCCAAGGCGCTGACAGTACAGAGGAAAGGAAGAAGGATGATCCCCCGTTAGAGCAATAAGTTATGAGCACAAATTAGATAAGCTAGGACTCTTCAGCATTGAAAACAGATGTCTCAAGGGAGACCTTGTAGAGCTATATAAGATTTTAAATGTGATTGAGAAAATAAACTCAGAATAATAGTTTAGAATACACCAAGACAGCAGAACAAGAGGACACAAATTTAATAATAATAATAATCCTTGCATTTGATATAGCGCTTTTCATGTCTTCTAGACGTCCCAAAGCGCTTCACTGAATATACTGTAAAGTGAATTGACTGTATATTTGTAGGCGAACGCGGCAGCCAATTGCACACAGCAATGTCCCACAAACAGTCATGGATTGAAAATGACCAATTTATTATTGTTTTGTTTTTTTGGAGGGATTATTATTAGGCGTGTGGAGTAAGGAAACTTACCCAAGGTTTCGCCCTCTGCCTGGAATTGAACTCAGGTCTCTCACTTGCAAAGCGAGTGCTCTAACCACTGAGCTATAGGACTCCAGCAGGGTCTTGGAAAGCCCCAGGTAGTCCCTCCACACCTCAAAGTCCCCCGGCTTCTCCCTTCCCCTTGGCCCGGCCCGGCTCTCCTGCCACCTCTCCCCGCGGCCCCTCGGTAACTCCCCCCGGCTCGCGGCCGGGCGGCACAGCCGGCAGACACTGCCCCCCGGCGCCCCCCGGCCGGCCAGTTCCGGGCCGTCCAGGAAGACCCCCGCGCGGAAAGGATGATTTCAGGGCAGACATCAGGAAGTTTTTCTTTGCCTGGAGGGTAATTAAACAACTAGAATAGGTTACCAGGAATGGTGTTTGAGGCCAGGGCATTGGACTCATTTAAAAATCAGCTTGATGCAGTAATGGGAGGACAAGCCAAATGGGCCAAGGAATCTTCATTCAAACCTCTCTGATGATCTTATGATCTTAAGATCACCTTGGCCAAAATGTCATTGCTCATTGTCACCACCTGCATGATAAGTCACATAACAACGTGTCAATATGTGCAATTGTTACTTGGGGGGGAAGGGGGCTTCATAAGTTTGAAGGTACTTTCACTGGTGGAGTCAATGTGAATAATTATTTGAATATTATCATCACAATATTCCTATGTTTAAAGCTGGCTTACTCAGCGTGGTTGTTAGATATATTGCACAAAAGAGATTCAGTTAATAAGATGGCATCTCTGATTTCCCAGTGGTGAGTTGTGTATGTTTTTATAGTGTTACCTACTTATTAATTTCAGCCGACTGCCACAAAGACATTAACACATCCAATTAATCAGACCATTACATCCTTCGAAGTGCCTCTTATACACCGGTCAGATTCAGGAGAGTGGCTCTGCAGTGTTCAGACAGCAGCCGGCATAGCTGACAGACCATTCAATATCTCTGTTAAAGGTAGGTTCTTATTTGGGGACCAGTCTGTCTTTCTCAGTTTATATGACTGGTATGATCCCAACAACTGTGTTGTTGGTATCACTGCATGATACCATTTTTTCCATGTCACCAGTTGCCGCTATCACCAGGTCTGCCATGTGATGGGTTCACAAGATCACATGGTTAGTTTCAATGAAGAAAGCCCTTCAGTGTCCTGGCCTCAATTATCCTTCCTGGCAACCTGGTTCTGTGTCATCATTGCAGAGAGCACAATGTTTGCAGACAGTCATTTCCAGTCAATCAATCCTCGATGTCTGTCGGAGAAGTCAATTACCTGCTATCGATAAAGCCACCAAAGAAAGCAAAGGCCTAAGTTAATTTTACTGTCTCTTCAATGGCATCACCTCCAGCTATTGCATAATTATGCAGTTGCATAATTGTGTTTGAGACACAGTAACTAAATTAATCCACCAGTAAAAGCACAGAGGTTGGATATACACAGTAAATATATCTTCATAGGTCCATGGAGAAACTCAAAATCTGTCCCCAGCTTTGTTCTTCTCATCATTGTGAATACTTTTGTGGTTCATTCTCACCAATTTCCATATCAGTGCCGTGTTGACTTATTGTGTGATGTACCCTTTCAACAGTCGCACCTTCACCTCAGAAGCCCCCGCTTAGGGTTAGCAGCGGCACTCGATATATCATTGTCGATACCAACATTAACTCACAAATCGGGGATGGGCCAATCATCTCACTGAAACTCCTGTATAAACCTGCGAGGGCAGTGCAGTCATGGTCATTCATAGAAGGTAAGACTGTGTCTCTAACCGCTATAATCTTAACAATGATACCTCATACAGTTTCCTATCACTTCATCAAAACATTTTAATGCGCCTCACAGGCTTTCCTATAGAGCATAGTGACTGTATTTTGTATTTTATAGGCAAATCATGCTCGGAGAAAAATAAAAGTATTTGAACCTGAGCTAGCTGCTTGTTGCTGTGGCTTTAATCGGCAAAAAAAAACAAAGCAGTTATTACTTACTTTGGTTCTCCAGGTCTGGGGATGATATAAACAGCATCTCAATGGGAGGGTCTCCCTCTCCCCCTCCACATCATCTGGTCAATAGTCAAACAGTGAGGTGCAATGGGTATAAGCACTTTGGACACATGCCTTTTGAATTGATAGATTCTTTACATAGTGAATATGAAATACCAGTATGTGGGTGTGAGAGGCAGAGTCCCTCCCCCAGCCCACTCAACACTGACTTCCTGAAGTTGGGATAGGTCACGGCTTTCGACTTCTATTTGTTAGAAATATTAAGAATGTGGCTATATACTCCCTGCCTCTCACTACTTTTTATCGTTAAATCCCACCTAAAAACATGCCCCTTCCCCCACACATATGGTCACCTCCCTTTCCCCTTTGCTTGAGGCTCTGAGATCCTGTCCTGTGCGAAGGGTGCTATATAAATTCAATTTGTTGTTTACTAAAATTAATCGTAAAGCCGTTATCCTGCTAACCAGTAGTCAAAAGCCATGAGCCAGAAGACGAGTATACGCCTTGATTTCAGAACATCAGTGGAACATCAGTTTCAGAACATCATTGTGGAGTCCTGTAGCTCAGTGGTTAGAGCACTCGCTTTGCAAGTGAGAGACCTGAGTTCAATTCCAGGCAGAGGGCGAAACCTTGGGCAAGTTTCCTTACTCCACACACCTAATAATAATCCCTCCAAAACAAAAACAATAATAAATTGGTCATTTTCAATCTACGACTGTTTGTGGGACATTGCTGTGCGCAATTGGCTGCCGCGTTCGCCCACAAATATACAGTCAATTCACTTTACAGTCTATTCTGTGAAGCGCTTTGGGACGTCCTCCCGACGTGAAAAGCGCTAAATCAAATGCAAGGATTATTATTATTATTATTATTATTATTATCAGAGAACATCGGGGATGTTCCGCGCTGACACATCCATTTAATGTAGAGTGTAACTTGAAAGGATCTCTTCATTTAGAGCATTTTTTTGAACACACTCTTCTCCCAGGCACGAAGAAGCATCCAGGCCAGCTGCTGGGTCTTTTCACTGTAAATCACACTCCACATTATTGTTCCTTCAAGGGACTAAAGCAAATAAACATTCCTGGAGTTTCTATGTGAGGACAGTTTTCATTGATTAATCTTTCTTGCACTTAAAACTTAAATCAATGTGCCACTCAACAGTTCTCAGGGAAGTCTTCCTATATGGGAGGAGGGGGAAGGGAGGAGGAAAGAGTTGGGGGTAGGGTGAGCAGTGCTTTGTTTGAAATATGCCTGTAGTGTATGTAAACAACATTTCTGAGGAAAAGAGAAGCTACATCCCTTTGATAACATTGTGTGTTTTGATGGTATTGAATTAACATTATTTTGTTCAGTTGGTTAAGGCGGTGTGGTGTTTACTAGAAGTTTAAAAAATTTCCTGTGTACTGGAGAGAAGCCTTTGTGTTGTTTGTCCAGAAACTAGGAAGGATCCACAAGGTCATCTTTATGTCAAGCAAAGTAGGCTTTGAATGGTGGAATTTTAAACATTGGCAATTATTTGCAAACGGATTTAAAACAAAGATGGTGTTAGCAAAAGGAATTCACAGTGATTAAATAGGCTTTAAAAGGTTAAGACAGACTACTTTATATTATGACCAACTTAACAGTTGATTTAAGCCTGTATTTCCCAAAGTGGCTAAGATCTGTGTGGCAGCTCTACCAGTCAGTTAGTAGCCACAGAAAGCAACTTTGACCAAATTCATTGGAACAAAGTTGTGAAGTATTCTCCGGAATAGTTATTGGAAAGAACGCATCCTTGAGCTAAATATCCCACAAAGAATAAAATACCACATCACATGCAGTACTGCATTTTCACTCCAAAAAGTGTGGTGTGACACTTGTCAGATCACCAAAACACTATCCCACGTGAAGGGCGCTATATAAATGCAAATTGCATGTTGACAGATGTCTACCACAGTTTCCTGATGCAAGGAATCTCCTGTGTGCAGGTACATTTGGCAGTTATTCAAGAACTGAGAAACATATCTAATTGGGACCAAGGGGTTGGGACTCAAAAGTTTGCCTTGTTCCAAGCCAGTTCCTTTACAACAAATTCAGTGTTCATCAGAGCAGAAACCTAACATGGCTGCAAGATAAAAGGTTGATGGAGTGTATTGAGCACAAACATCATTTGAAAATAATCTGTGACCTTTTCTCTTCAGGAACTGAATCACCAGCGTCAGTGAAGTTGGACAACCTACAGCCAATGTGTGAATATAGTATCTGTGTGCAGCTCAGTCGCCCGGGAGATGGAGGTGAAGGGCATCCTGGCCCAGTGGCAAATTTCTGGACGAAATACCCAAGTAATGTATATGCTTATAGTACTCTGAATTATTTCACTGTGCGTAGCATCAGCAATTGGGATAATTAAGAAATTTACCAGAGTTATGTACAACCCCCAGAAAACAAACCAATCTAATCATGGCTGTTAAGGTGGGTTTTGTTAATTACATTGCTGTCCTTAGCACTGAAGATAATTACCATATTTCTTGTGTAAAAATCATGTTTTTATTTTTTAAGCAGTAAAAATTGAAAGCCGCACTAATTCCTCCACTACTGCAATTAGCAATTTACAGTTTAGCAAAAAATCTTGTGAGAAACAGTAAAATCACACACTCACACAACAACAACAACAACAAAATTACATTTGTGTAGCACCTTTCACATCGGGAGGACGTCTGAAGGTGCTGGACAATCAATGTTTCGGACCCTAGCTGAGGGTCGGAATTGGGGAAGGTGGAGGGCAGGGGGGAAGAAGGGTGACCGAAGGCACAGTCGAAGAGAAGGGTCTTGAAACGGGTCTTGAAGGAGGCAAGGGAGTGGGCAAAGTGGAGGGACTGCAAGATGGAGTTGGAGGGTGGGGGCAGAGTGGCTGAAGGCCCTCCTGCATTGTTGGAGCACACGAGGCGGGGTACGTGAAGCAGGCCGGAGTTCGCTGTGTGGAGGGAGCAGGCAGGTTGGTAGGGAGTTAGGAGATTGCAGAGGTAGGTGGGAGCAAGGCCATGAAGGGCTTTGAATGTGAGGATCAGTATCTTGAACTGTATCTCTGTATAATGGGAAGCCAGTGGAGTCAGGCGAGGATGGAGGTGATAGGGTCTCGGAGCCTGATGTGGGAGAGGATAAGGGTTGCAGAGTACTGGATGATCTGTAGACTATGGAGGGAGGAGTTGGGGAGGCCGACAAGCAGGGAGTTTAAGTAGTAGAATAGTTGGTATGAATGCATGTATGAGGGTCTCAGCGGTATGCGGTAGTTGTGGAGTGAGTGATGTTCCAGAAAAGGTGGAACGCGTCATGGCACAGACGTGGGATATGAAGGACAGTTGAGGGTCGAACAGGATACTGAGGTTCCGTATTGGCTCCATGAGATGTAGAGTGCATCCAAGGGAAGAGATGCTGTCAGGGCCTGAGGTATGGAGGCGCTGGCGGGAGCCACAAACACCCTGCAGTTGCAATTGTTAGTGCAGCACCAATTAGCCACAGAAACCTATGAACAAGAGATTTTCTTTGTCCCTCAGTGAATAGGAACATAACAGACAGCTAATAGGAAATTTTCAGTGTAAATTGAATTATTATTAATTTAGGGAACTTCAGCAAATAAACATGTTTGAGAGTGTATGTGCAGAGGACACACTGACAAATTCTCCACTGGTTTATGCTGATTACAGTAATAGCTCCACTCAGCACTTGACTTAGTGGTGAGGATTGGCTGCTGGGTGGTTGTGGAGTGCTGATTTTTGGCCTCGTACTCATGAAAATTGCAACCTATAATGTGCTAATTGTCACCAGTGATAATCAACATATTGTTGATAAATGAGCTAAAGATTAGCTCTGAATATTTCTCTATTGCTCCATTGTAAGCCAGTCAGGAACCTAGGTGTCTTGTTCGACCCTCAACTGTCTTTTCTCCCCCACATTCAAGTCATGTCCCGCTCTGCCTTCCCTCACCCCCGTAACATCGCCTGACTCCGCCACTACCTCACCCCTCAGGCTACTGAAACTCTTGTTCATGCCTTCATCACCTCCAGGCTCGACTATGCAAACGCCCTGCTTGTCGGCTTTCCCAACTCCTCCCTCCACAAACTGCAGATAATCCAGAACTCTGCAGCTCGTGTCCTCTCCCGCACCAAACTCTGTGATCCCATCTCCCCCACTCTCGCCCGACTCCACTGGCTCCCTATCCTTCAGAGGATCCAGTTCAAGATCCTGGTCCTCACATACAAAGCCCTCCATGGCCTCGCCCCACCCTACCTCTGCGATCTCCTAACCCTCTACCAACCCGCCCGCTCCCTCCGCTCAGCCGGCTCTGGCCTGCTCTACGTCCGCCGACCCACCCGTCCCACCACTGGCGGCAGAGCCTTCAGCCACTCTGCCCCCAATCTCTGGAATTCCATCCCCCAGTCACTCCGCCTCGCCCCCTCGTTAGCCTTCTTCATATCCCGCCTCAAGACCCTCCTCTTCGACCATGCCATCGGCCACCCCCCTTCCTCTCCCCTCCCGACCCCAGCTCGGGTCTGAAATACTATACTCTGTCCAGCGCCTTGGGACGTCCTCCCGATGTGAAAGGGGCTATACAAATATAATCTTGTTGTTGTTGTAGTGAGGTCAAAATCAGCCCTAGGCAGCTCACAGATCACATGCAGCATTGAGGGCTGGTTCATGGTATGCCTGTCTTAACTCACTCAGGACTATCATCATGACATAGATCTCTTTCAGTTCCCCCTTGACAACTCCTATCCAACCATGGAGCGCCTAACTACAGTACTTTGCATTCATCTGTTTTGAACTTCCCTATTCAGCTCTTTGTAAGTCTTTCACTGGCTCCTCTGACTCTCCCCCAACTTAGTGTCATCTGCAAATGTACTTTTAAATACTTAAGGACTTTAACCTAGAGTATTCCTGTGGTTAGAGGAGTATTAACTGAGGTATAACAAGATATTACTTGGTGCAGTGAGCTTTAAGAAATAATTTTAGCAATTAAACAAACAGTATTTTCTTGAAATAAGCACAAACATTTAGCAGCTAAAATATCTGTGCAACTATATTACCTTGAAAATATACAGGTATTCCAGCTCCGTTGAATTTCAAAATCACGCCCAAAAACCAAACCTCCCTCATCTTAACATGGCAGTCAGTGCCTGGTATCCAGGAGGAAGTCATGTACCGTGTTGAATGTCAGGTCGCCAATGACAGTAAGGGCAAACCTACTGTCTTTGAAGTACCTGGGAACCTATCCAGTCTGGATATTGCGGATCTGAAGCCGAAACACCAGTACAAGTGCAGGGTGCAAGCTCAAGCCAAGTCTATGGGAGAGTGGTGTGATACGGTGACTTCATGGACTTACAGCAATGGTACGTTTCTCTTTCCTTTTCTCCTACTCTTATTGAAGCTCGTGCTGACCATCCTCCTCCCTGGAGTCACAGTGAATGTGATGTCCTTTTAAGTTTCATGTGAACGTTCATTTATTCATTATACCGGGTGAATCAAAAGCCCTTATTCCTAAGTCTATATGAGATGTTCAAACTGCTTGCCATGTAGACATTTACACATATTGACTCGGTGACAAAAACGTTCATGAGCGTTGTACACTCTGAGAAATAAGAAAAAACATAATTAATAATTAAATACTCTATGATTTATCCTGTATATTTATTAAAGTGAGTTTCAAATGTTTATTTAATTGTTTGTTGTAGTCCTTGTTACAAATTTTAATTTCTGCCATTTATTTGGCAAAGGACAGGTTTTGCTCATTGAAGTGCCACACTGACCCTAGCAGCCAGCCATGAATAGCACATGGTGTGATCTCAAAGTATCTTTTTGGCCCGTTATATTACACATAACAAAACAGGATCGCTAGTATTAATGACATACTGGTTCAGTAAGTTTCATTCCAAAGTTTCATGTGTCAGTGTGGCTTAGTTGGTAGCACTCTCGCCTCTGAGTCAGAAGGTGGTGAGATTAAGCTCCATGTTGGGACTTTGAATTCATAGCTGACACTTCAATGCAGTGCTCAGGGATTGTTCCATGGTTTGATGTAAAATTCATGTACCATTTGATGTACCATGGCACGATTTGAAAATCTCAATCTCTGTGAGTTTGGGAAGGACATGGAATAGCGGCATGATGATAACAAACTAAGTGAATCTCTTAAGGGTCAAAAGCCCTTGGTCTGTCTCCTCAGGCTGGAAATACAAGATGCCAAAGCATCAAGATGAGGAGAGTAGAGGGTAGATACTTCCACAAATGACCAGTCAGTATTACAGCAGATTCAGTGTAAAGGGAGAAATGCTAAACCCACTCTAAGCACCACCATTTGTGGTAACTAACACCAGTATTAGGAAACCTCTTGAGGAATACTACACAATTTACTGCATAGCTTCGGATAAGAAAAAAAGTCTGTTGAATTGAATGTCTCAACTGAGCCCAGTTCACTTACCAGGACTTTATATGGACTTTGGGAAGTGCGGTTTTCAGGATAAGTGTACGTTTGAAATCAGATAAATAGTTTTGCGGGGTGTGTTGTTATGCTAACCTGCTACTCACTTTGACAGAATTGCCACCCGCTCCTGCTAAAATCAAGATTTTTAACATTACTGATACTTCGGCATTCATTTCCTGGTTAATCGAGGAAGGCAACTCAATATCTTCAATCATCATTCGCTACAAAATATATGGGGCCGTGGATTACACTCAGGAGACAGAAATCAAAATAAGGGACCACCCCATTAATCAATTCCAACTCCGAGGACTGGAGCCCAAGACCCCGTACCTGGTGGAAGTCTGCGCCAAGAATAACATGGGAGAGAGCAAGCCCAACTTTCTTATGGAACTACACACACTGGAGGAAGCCTCAGGTATTGACTGCTCTGCCGAAGTGTTGGTGTTGCACCCATGCTGAGTGTATATTTGTTGTGTTGATGAGAGTTCACCAAAAACAATTAAGGAAAATAAACATAAGGTACTTACAGTTAATAGTCAGTCGATTGACAAATATTCACACACCAATCTTCAACTAAGTGCAATGTACTTAACCTCATCCCTCTCCAATGTGGTTGTGAGATCCGAGCATAAAAAATCTCTAGTTGTTTGCAAGCAATGCATGCATGATAGCGAGGTTACTAGACTTATGATTTAGCTGTCTCCCCGTTTCCAAAATCCATCGTAATAGTTTAATCCAAAGCCACTCAGAGACCTGCGTTTTAGCACATGAGAGTGCCGGTTAGCAAGGATAATAACACTGAAGCCCATTATCAAGGGCCCATAGTCCAGTGGAGATGTGTGCTGGCTTTGGGTCTGTTTATTGTAAAGGAATTGGGGAGGAGGGGGTGGGGTAGATTCACATCAGTGGCCAGTCTTTAATATACAATCACAATAGGGGTTTGGATCCATTTGATCACGTTGTTTCAGCAGATCACCCACCTACCTTGTCAAGCTGTGTTCTATGATTTGGAGAATAAACTACCTTGGGCTCCTGTTGATTTATTTTGCAGGGCGACACTATGCTCACAGTGGTGAGGGGAAGCTGCTGCTCTATGCTATTCTGGGCTCAGCTGGAATGACCTGCCTGACAATCCTAATAGCCTTTTGCATTGTCCTTCACTTCAAGAGGCACAACTTCCAACGAAGAATGGTTCAAGCTTTTCAAAACAGTTCGGTAGGGTTATGCTAAGAATCATTACATGTGTTGCTCTCTGTGGCTATAAATTGGTAACTATTTTATATAATAAAATGCTGCAGTTCATTTTTATGGACCTCAAATAAATATTATAATCCCTGCATTTGATATAGCGCCTTATCACGTTTTGATATAGCACTTTATCACATCTTGATATAGTGCCTTATCACGTCTAAAATTAGTCTTGGATGTTAAGAAATTCATATTTTTGGGTGATTTAAATCTAAGTGGAGCCCCTTTTACTGCAAAATGTTGCCTGCCACAATTCTTCACCATATCAGCGACAGTCGATTGAATGAGTGTTTGTTGTAACAGAGAAAGCAGCAAGTGCTAATAAACAGTCAACTCAACGTGGAATTGCTGCATCCTCAACAATAGGTCTAACACATGGCTTACATATAGAAATTCCTAAACCACCAAATAGGAATTATTCTGATGTTATGGCGATGGTCGGTTCATGCCTCCTCCTCCTCATTCACCCCCCCCACCCTAACTAATATGTCAATGGCCATGAAGCTTGGCTGTGCATTTGGCTAATAATCGTGATATCTCGGAGAGCATCACAGGATATAATGTAAACTGATGTGACGGGCTATTTTGTGGGTGAAGAGAGGTTTGAAGGATAAAAAAGATTTTTCGGTCGACTTGATCTCATCCTTTCAGAAAACCAACCTTAGAGGTTTGCATTAAAGCACGAACAAAAGGAACCTGGTTACTCTCTTCCGCGCTGCCTCAGTTTTTCAATTTGAGGATTAAAAGATCGCATGTGATCTGACTACCCAGCAGTAATCCCTGAGCAAAAGAGAAATGTAATTTTGTTTCTAAACGTTGCTTTTTTCTGACTGGTTAAGACTCAACCCGCTTTTGTTCTCTTTTGAAGAGGGAGGAGCCTGTCATTCAGTTTAATTCAGGCACTCTCACTCTGTCCAGGAAACCGAAACCTCATTTGGCAATGCCCATTGTCTACCCAGTCCTGCAATGGGATGACATCAAATTTGAGGATATCATTGGCGAAGGGAATTTTGGACAGGTATTGAAAGCCCGAATTAAGAAGGATGGACTCAAAATGAACGCTGCTATTAAACGCATGAAAGGTAACAAGTATGTGACGTCTGAAAGCCCTTCCCCTCACAAGAATAATTGCTCTTGTGTTATGCTTTTGTATTGGTTGAAGATAATAATAATAATCCTTGCATTTCATATAGTGCCTTATCACGGCGTCGAGACATCTCAAAGCGCTTCACAGGATATACTGTAAAGTAGATTGACCGTGTATTTTATGGGCGGACTCAGCAGCCAGTTTGCTCACATGTCCCCTCACAGCCATTTATTTGGGGAATTGTTGGCCAGGACAATAAGTTATTTAATAGATGAATAACATACCCAACAACTAAAGATTATCAGTCCAGTGATCATACTGTTTAACTGTGAAAGCTGATTTAACTTGGTGTTTCCCGATCAGCGCTGAAATGCTCGGTGCCTCGACGCCATGGCAGTTTCAAAAGCAACACCAGCCATCTCAATGGGCATCACAAATGGCTTTGAGTGTAACCATTTGAATAGAATCATAGGGTGTTCAGTCATTGACTGGGACATTGCCAAGAGCCGAATTATCACCAGTGACAGTTATCGCATCAGATACCCTGTTTTTTTACCTCCATTTGTGTATTCTCAAAGCACAGTTGACTGTACTTTCACTCCTCCTTGGCTCTCAACTCCAGTTTGAGTGCCCATCCAGCACTGCAAAGCACTTTGAGACATCCTCCTGACATGAAAGGCACTACACAAATGTAAATTGCATTGTGCATTCTATCAAATAGATTATTTAAAATGTCAATGGCATTGTTAGAATTCCATTTGCCTGTGTTTTAAGTGTGGTTTGTTTAATTCCTCCTGCAGAATATGCTTCCAAAGATGATCACAGGGACTTTGCTGGCGAACTGGAAGTTCTCTGCAAACTTGGACATCACCCAAATATAATAAACCTGCTGGGAGCCTGTGAACATCGGGGTAGGATTTCCCGTACTGCTCTCTGTCATTGTATGGTACAGGCCCACTGTGAAACAATGGAACAGAAATACAACCAATGCAAAACCCAGTCAACGGGTAGAAGCGAAAAAGCTTCAGTGTCTGCCCCGTTCTTATACAACACTTGTGAAGAGAAATACCAGTGCAAATAAATACTCTGTGTTCCACCAGTAGAAGAGATGTATCACAAAACTATTGCATATGGTGTTAGGGAGACGAGAATGTGAAAAAAGAAACTACCCATCGGTGTGTTTGACTGTCGGGTATGAAGTGATGTCGTTTCTAATACAGGAGCATTGCAGAACGGGAAGCCAGATTGTTGTTAATAAGCCAACATTCAATTTCAGAGTTCTGTGCACAGAAGGCTTAGCACATGTCAGAGATCCACAGTCAGACGCTTATCTTTTAATGTTATTAAAGAGATGGCTAATAGCATTAAAAACAGCCGCTTGCAAGCTCTCGTTCAAAGAGAGTTTTCAAGGGACTGTTGATAAGTGATGCTGGCATTGATTTACAGATGGCACGTTTATACAGCAGTGTGGGGGGTGGGTGGAGGTGCAGAGAGGGAAGGAGAATCACACTGCTTCTGCTACCACCTCCCTAACACACAACCCTGCAAGCTTTGCCTCAAACAAGTTGTCTACGCACTTCATAGAATGCATTCTCCATTAGACAAGATAAGGAATTATCCTGTTTTACACAGTGTGACGGCCCTGAAAAAATAGTGTGTCACTGTACTCACTGTTTCTTCAGCCTCCTGTCACCCTCCGTTCTTCCCCCGACCTGACATGACTATCATTGTCATTTACTCAGTAAAATGAAGATTACAGACTTTCACCAAGAGAGCCTATAAATGAACTGTACAGGAATAATGTAACAATGTGTAGCACGGCTTCTCCTTTTATACAGATTCACAAAAAAATGAATGGCACAGAAACAGGCCATATAGTCCAACCAGTGCATGTTTATACTCCATATGAGTCTCCACCCATTTCTTACTCCCTCCCATACCCTGCCATTTCCTTCTCCCTTTCAAGAACACTGGAGATTACATTGTAATATTGCGATATTTGCAAACAGGATTTGAAACGCTGGTTGTGACTTCCATTTGTAACTATCAAAATGTAATTCCTGTTAAGCAGAACTCTTAAAAATGTGGCCATTTAATCAAGGGTTGTCCTATGAACTGTGTCAGAGATGAGGTTGCTTCATGTATCTCTATACTGCTTCCTTTATGGGTACAGCGATTTTCCCCACTCATTTCCTCTTAATCCTGCACCCAAAGCCCTATTGGGTTATGTAGTCCTAGCTGGACAAGCAGGGAGAAGCTTTCCAGCCAATGTTCGCAATGGCGAGCTGTGTGTTTTTTTACTGGTTAAACTCAGTGAAAATTCAAGAATCCTCAAGCCTGTGCCCCTGACAACCTGCTCCTAATACCTTCAGCGATTTGGTGAGCAGGATGCATCCCTCAGGAGAGAGAGCACTCTATACTAGGCAACTGACAATTCTATGTTTATGTGGAACTCTCAGTCTGGTATGGATACTGGTAAGCATGGTGATGGGGTTCTTGATGTGTCAGACACTTGGCTGAACAAAACACAAAGGTACTAGTGCTATCTTTGCAAAATATAGAAACATAGAAATCTTCAGCTCAGAAGGAGGCCATTCAGCCCAACGAGCCTGGACCGGCTCACAGAGGAATGATATAGCTTTAATCCTATCTCAGTACCCTATCCCTTTACTCCTTCAAGCCCTTCTCTTTCATATGCCTTTCATCCACCATAAGCCACATTCACATCTCTCTGGATCGACATTCCTATTCTTCCACATGATGTGGAATCTTTGTTCTGCAGGATACCTGTACGTGGCTATTGAATTTGCGCCACATGGAAATTTGTTGGATTTCCTGCGGAACAGCCGAGTGCTAGAAACGGACCCAGCCTACGCCATTGAGCACAGCACCGCTTCCACATTAACCTCACAGCAGCTCTTACAGTTCGCCGCTGACGTAGCCAAAGGGATGGATTACCTCAGCCAGAAACAGGTTAGAATAAATTCTGGACTGGCCAACAATCCCCCAAATAAAATTGGTCATTCATTGGCTATTTGTGGGATATGGTTGCATGCAAATTGGCTGATGTGTTCACCTACAAAGTACAAGATCAATGCACTTTACAGACTATGCTGTGAAGAGCTTTGAGATGTCCTCTTGATATGTGTTCAAATGTAAGGATTATTGGTGAGCATTCCATTGAGCATTACGTGCATTGCCTTTGTTGTTGCCAACCGATGGATTTCCCATTCACAAGTCTGAATGGAATTGTTACTCCCATGTCCTCTGTGAAGTGTATTGCATGCAGACTGATGATCGGCACATTAACCAGAGTGTCGGTATATCCAGCATATTTCAGACCCTAAAAATTGCGCAGAATATTAACATTTGTATCTTGAGAAGCCACCTAAACAAGCCAAAATGTGCACCTCAGGATCAGCGCAATGTTTTTAGTATAAATGTTGTGATTGTGCTGATACATTGGGTAATGAGGCCTCTGTCTGGTCAGTAGAGAAACATGGTGCTTAGATAAGTCTCTCCCCTTGCAGCAAGGCATGGGAAAAGCTGTAGGAGAAAACAACAAGATTACATTTGTATAGCGCCTTTCACATCGGGAGGACGTCCCAAGGTGCTGGACAGTGTACAGCATTTCAGACCCAAGCTGGGGTCAGGTGGGAAGAAGGGAGGGGAGGGGAAGGGGGGGTGACCAATGGCATGGTCGAAGAGGAGGGTTTTGAGACAGGACTTGAAGGAGGCTAAGGAGGGGGCGAGGGAGAGTGATTGGAGCATGGAATTCCAGAGGTTGGGGGCAGAGTGGCTGAAGGGTCTCCCGGGTGGGTCGGGGAACGTGGAGCAGGCCGGAGCCGGCTGAGCGGAGGGAGTGGGCAGATTGGTAGGGGGTTAGGAGGTTGCAGAGGTAGGGTGGGGCGAGGCCAACTCCAGGGCCACTACTGTCCTGACAGATTGCCTGTCGGACATCAAGTCCTGGATGAGGGCAAATTTCCTGCAGTTGAATGTGAACAAGACTGAGGCCTTGCTGATTGGCTCAAGCAATATGAAGGCAGGAAAACAGTGCAAAATCCATCCCTAATTGTTCCATACACTTCTACAATGTGTTCAATTATTGATGGTTGTCTTTAATTCTTTAGTTTATTCACAGAGATTTAGCAGCGAGAAATATTCTTGTGGGTGATAACTACGTTGCTAAGATTGCAGATTTTGGATTGTCCAGAGGGAAAGAGGTCTATGTAAAAAAGACTATGGTAAGTGCAGAAGCTCTTGAGGCAGTGGCCATTACAACATTTGGCATTGAGCTGCTGAATTATACCACAACACAGGGAGTTACAACAACGAAATTACATTTGTATAGCGCCACTCACATTGGGAGGATATCCCAAGGCGCTGGACAGACAGAGCCATGGACCCGAGCTGAGGGTCGGGATTGGGGGGGGTAGAGGGGAAGCAGGGAGATCGAAAGCAAAGTCGAAGATGGGTCATACAGTACATACAGTAAACCTCACATTAGTCATATCAATTGGGATCACACATTTAATATGACTTATGCAAAGCGTAAATTAGTCTGCATAAGCCATGCAACGTATGCGAGTTTTACTGTAGTATGATACCGCATGGAAATAGGCTATTCAACCCAACTAGTCTGCTATACTCCAGAAGAATCATCACTCTTCCTATTACCCTCTCTTTTATCAAAATGCATCGATGTTTAATGATTCAATTTTTCAGGTTCTTGGGATGGATGCTATTATTCTCTCCTTCCTCAGCTTTCTCCAGGCCACATAACATTCTTGGATGAGTTGGTGGCTTCGGGGAACCCTGTGTCTCCTTTTTTTTCTTCCACATGAGATACAATACAGTTAAACTGTACCACTCATCAATTAATACTCCCCAAGAGGCAATTGTTCAAGTGAGCCTTAACAAGGCAAAGTAGAAGTCTGATAGACTGCAGGGGACATCACAACCAAACATAGTTGCCGCCTCATCTGGTATTGTTTACAAATGTGCAGCCCCAAACGGGTAACTGGATAATGATCAGGGCTTGAACCCTGACTGATTTCTTACTGCTGCCTGAGGTGGCATCAACTAATTCAGCCCAGAGAAGGGACTTCACTGGTCTGTGAAACATAGCTGCTCAATGGGTCAATTCACTGAGCCATCAGAGGTGCGTGATGGTCTTTTGTATTAATATTCCATATTGCTTAACTGAGATCCATGATAATTGCCCACGAACCACACCAGACATTCTTTCCCTTACAAGGTTTTGAAGGCATGACTTTATCTCATAAGACAATCTTGGCACAGTACTTAAATCTACTGCTCTCTGCTGGAACAAAAGAAATTTACAGTACAGAAGGATATTGGCCCATTGTGACTGTTTTGGCTCTTTAAAAAAGTTCCTATTTACCTGCTTTTTCCCATACCCCAGAAAATTACTTCATTTTAGATAGGTGTTAGTTCCCTATTGTGAAAGCTTCTATGGATATTACCTTCACTACTGCATCCAGCAGGGCATTCCATATCCTAGCGACTCTGTATAAAAACATCCTTCTAATCCTCCCGCTTTGGATCTTTGGTAGTTATCTTAAATTGATGCTCTCTATTCACTGACTCACCAACCAGTGGAAATAATCAGCAATGACCTGACAACGCCCAGAAGTCAGCCTTTTTACGCAATTCATCGTAAACCGGCCCATGAGACATGAGACATGATAACACAGTTAGCTTTTTGTGCGTATATAGATATGGTAGTAATTTCCTTTATATAAAATTTACTGTTTTTCAATTAAATGTTTACTAGTTATGTTTTTTATATAAAAACAAAAATAGTAAACATTTAATTGAGAGACAGTAAATTTTATATAAAGGAAATTAAATGTTTACTATTTTTATTTTTATATAAAAAACATAACTACTTGAGTCACCTAGAAACACACAGTCACTACACTGTACAGAAGCCTCTGTGATGTCCGTTGAGAAATTTTGATGCGATTAGGCACCATATCTAATACAAGGATTATTATTATTGAATCAATATGTGTGCGTAGATACTTTGAATGCAATATTTTTGAATTTCTGTTCTTGATAGGGAAGGCTTCCTGTTCGATGGATGGCTATTGAGTCCTTAAATTACAGCGTTTACACTACGAACAGCGATGTGTAAGTTTCACTTCTGCACCTCACACTAGGATTGGGCCTGACTCTGCTAGTTTATCTACAGCCTGAAACCTCCACCTGTATCTGCTTGTATTAACATCCTCAGAGCACATGCTTAAGCTTCCTGATCTGCTCATTGAGGCTACTTCCCCCAACTTACAGAATCTATTTACTTTAGAATGCACCAAGATAGTAGAACAAAAAGACATAGATATAGAGTTGCAAAGGGAAATTTCAGGATAAGCACCAGCAAGTTTTTCTTTACCTAGACAGTAATTAATGACTGGAGCAGATTGCTAGGAAGGGTGGTTGAGGCCAGGACACTGGACTTATTTAAAAAGATGCTTGATGCTGTAATGGGAGAAAAATAAGCTGGGTGTTCAGGAGGATCATATGAGCCGAAGGGCCTTCATCATTCAAACTAGTCTTGTAATCTTGAGATCTTGTGACCCTCTTCCTCTACTTGACTTTGTGGGAAATTGCTATACTCAAATTCACTGCTGCTAAATTTCCCCTATAACATACACAGTCACTACACTTTACAATAAATCCTGTTGAGATATCGTCCCAGCATGAAAGGCACTATATCAAATGCTAGGATTATTAGTATTATAATAATATGGTCAATAAAAACACATTATGAATATCACAAATTTTGTTTCATTGTTTTGTACATTCTTAACAAACAGAAATTACAACAATACCTTTTTCAGATAAAGTGATCCAACTGCATATATATATAGAACAATGACTTGTTTCTCAATCATAACCCATCACCAAAGAGCTGTAAACATATAACATTCACTCACTGAATTTTCTTTTTGCAGGTGGTCATATGGGGTTCTCTTGTGGGAAATTGTTAGTTTAGGTAAGTGATGCAATCTTTTACTTCATTCACGTAACCATGTGGAATGCGAGGAGACAGGAGTTTATATGATACCAGTGAGCCCACAATTATATACGGGCTGAATTCCACCTCTCCAGATTTCAAACATTTCAGTTTTTATTCTCTTAGCCTTTCAGAGCAAACTGTTGAAATCAGTCATAACTTTGAAGCCAATTTTCATTAATTTGGAAAAATACTTACAGACAGCTGGTTTCAGAAGTAAGGCTGTATTTAAGAATTTTCAAAATTCTGGAAAACTAAGAGACTAGAGTGAATCAAATTGAATTGAATTCCTTCCCTGAGTGTGTAAAATAGTGAATATCTCCTGCCCATCTCTGAGATATTTACCACCTTGAATCTGTTATGAAACATCACATCTTGGTGTTGAGGTGTCAGAAGGCTATGGGTCCAAGCCCACGATGAGACTTTGAGTTTCTAGTTTAGGCTGGCATTCTAGGGATATGCTGCCTTGTCAGGGGTGCTATTGTTCGGTAAGACATTAAACCAAAGTCCTATCTTCCTATTCAAGTGGATGTTAAGGATTTCATGGCACTACTCAAAAAGAGAAGGGAATTTCTCATGATGTCCTGCCCAACAATCCTCCACATAAAATTGAGCATTCACCGCATGGCTATTTATTTGGCATTGCTGTGCACAAATTGCCTGCCACATTCAGCTATTTATACTCAGCTGATATTTTACTATATTTTACAATAAATTTTCTGAAGCATTCTGAGACGTTTCAACAGTGTGAAATGGCACTATTGTCAAATGCTATTATATTTTTCACCCCAGTATTTTACACGACGGTATTTTACTCTTGCATGGTTCGTCTAAACTATTGAAATTGTCCTGTTTAAGGATAACATAAAATAACCCTTCTTTGCTTTGCAACTGTGGCTAGGTGGCACGCCATATTGTGGGATGTCCTGTGCTGAACTTTATGAGAAACTACCCCAAGGATACAGGATGGAAAAACCATTGAACTGTGTCGGTGAAGTGTAAGTTCCTCAAATCCTTCAATACATTTGACTCCCCTTGTCAGTGGATGTAGAACCCCTCAGCATAAAAATGAATGCTGAGCTTTGGATCGTTAGCCTTTCCAGCTTATTGAGCAAGTTTTCCCTGAGGCCGAGTTGTCAAGAGAAGCCAGGCAGGTCGCAATAATCATAGGCATTGTTGGAGGTTGTCCAGATTGTCAGTCACATCAATGAGACATGGAGGTATCGGCTCTTAACTCTGTAGTAAAGATCACATAAGTCGTATCAGTTGGGACCATATATTTAATATGACTTATGCAAAGTATGAGTTATGTCAACCTTGCATAGAATTATAAACTCTTGAACAGGACTCAGGCAGATGTGCAACTTAGGCGATTATATGATTTGTACTGATCAGATTTATGCGAGTTTTACTGTAATAATAATAATAATAATAATCCTTGCATTTGATATAGCGCTTTTCACGTCGGGAGGACGTCCCAAAGCGCTTCACAGAACACACTGTAAAGTGAATTGACTGTATATTTGTGGGCGAACGCGGCAGCCAATTGCGCACAGCGATGTCCCACAAACAGTCATAGATTGAAAATGACCAATTTATTATTGTTTTTGGTTTTGGAGGGATTATTATTAGGCATGTGGAGTAAGGAAACTTGCCCAAGGTTTCGCCCTGCCTGGAATTGTACTCAGGTCTCTCGCTTGCAAAGCGAGTGCTCTAACCACTGAGCTACAGGACTCCACTTTCAGACATGAAGTCTGAGTGTGATTTGCTAGCCATACTGCATTGAGTGGAGACAAGTATCCTCAAAGAAAGCACTCCTGAGACCATAGAAAATTCAGAGAGTGAAGGATTTATGGTGAATGAGGACCAGTCAGGTAGTCACATCCTCTCTAGAGGCTATAATTTAAACTGTTACCTGAAGCTCTGTGTGTCATAGACTGGTGGTGTCATTTTAAAAGCTAACAAGGAAATTCAGTGCTTGAGTACTCTATAATCTCAACAAATGCCAAGCTCCTACCAAGCAGATTATCCTGTTACACTGTAGTCTATTCGATATCCTCTATAATGTATTGTAATCTTGATTTGTGTATTCTTGACAAAAGAATGGAGCAAAAATGGTCAGAAGTGCTTTCAAATTCATCTCTTTAGAGCACTTTTTTATTGTAACTTTAAGATTGTCACAATTTTTTTAACATTTTGTAACTTTTTCAAAAGCATAAACAATTTTCTATGCTTTCAGCTATGAACTGATGAGACAGTGTTGGCGTGAAAAACCCTACGAAAGACCGACATTCGCTCAAATTCTGGTGTCACTTAACAGAATGTTAGAAGAGAGAAAGGTAATACTGTTGCAATACAATACAACTTATACTTATGTCACGTCTCTTATGCAGCACATCCCAAAGCTCTTGACCAAATGCTTGTTCACATTTGCTGCCGAGCTCTCAGTCGTACAAGCGTTCAGTGGGCTCCATCTTATTGTGTTTCCTTTTATTTTGATTCAGACCTACGTAAACACAACGCTGTTTGAAAAGTTCACCTACGCTGGCATTGACTGCTCTGCTGAAGAAGCCGGGTGAACATCCCGTGCAGGGGAATCAGCCGTGAAAAGTGAACAAAGTTTGTTTTGTAAACTTTGTACCTTTTAGATAATGCAAGCAGTAACATATGCAGTGCGTCACAGTATATTTCTACATAGGTTCACAAACATCTGGCTGGAAGAACGATGTGCCACAGCCGAGAACCAGTATTCATAATCAAAGAAAGCGTTAGTGGAGAGACCTTACACCTGGTTCACTCTATTTATGGAGCTTTTCAGAGTGTCTGGAATTTGGTAAATTCTTAAATACAGCCTGAATTTTGAGCAATTTTCTGTATGTTTCTTTTGAGAACTATAAGAACTAGCTTGAAAGTTAAGACTGAATTTGACAGATTCTGGATGCTCTAAAATGCTACAAATAGAGCAAATATAAATCCAGGTGGAAATCCTACCCAGAGCATGGTTACATTCCTTATCTTCCTCTAACTGTTGTTTAATTCGTGAGTGTTGATAGCTGCAGAGTAGTTAGTGTGGAGAAGTTACTGAGCTAGGGTTGTGGGGGAGCTAGCTAACCAACCATCCGTCAGGGATCCACTAAGGATATAGAAATCCCAGAACAGAGACGGCCATTTGGCCCAACAAGTTTATGCTGACTATCCCATTGGAGCTATATACATGTACACCAATTTTCTGTCCCTCCCCACGCCCCAAGACTAAAACATGGAGTCCTGTAGCTCAGTGGTTAGAGCACTCATCCCGCAAGCGAGAGACCAACTGTCGTGGATTGAGTGATCAAATTTTTCTTAAGGGATTATTACCCCCAGAAAAGCGATCCGCCAATCGACTAACAACTGGGTTCCCACTTACTGCTTGGTAAACATGTGGAGTAAAGAAACTTGCCCAACCCTTTGCCATGCCCGGGAATCGAACCCAGGTCCTATCGTTTGCGTGGCAAATGCTCTAACCATTAAGCTGTAAGACTCCACTTGAACAAAGTGTTTGACAGTGACTCCTCACTCATTAAAGTGAACCCCCTGAAGTAACAGAGAATTGTTTTCAACAGGAAACGTGGGATTTGATTCATGCCTGCAGTGTGGAGGAAGAAGCTGTATAGTATTTAAATATTGTGTGTCATTATGAGAAATGCTTCCACTTTTTAGGATTGTTATGCTACTTTGTATATAGTGCTTGGCCTTGTTAATTACAGATATGCCATTGTATGTTTATAATGTAGAATTTTTTGTTAACCTGCCAGTTTTGATAGCAAATAAATATCAGGCTCTGACGTACGCCAATTGCTAAGTATTAGCCATCTTTTCCACTGTATCTTTGTGACAGGAAAATCCCATTTCAGGTTAGAATTATAAAAGCTTAGTAAAACAAAAACATATTTCTGGAGATCAGAAACTCTAGCCCCCACTGTAACTTGTTTTGCATGCATGCTTGCACTTCCTCCCTATGTACTATGTATAGTTCTATGTACTCCCCAGTTTACCAGCTGCATAGATATCCTTGCTAGGTGTTAGCCTTGTCTGGATAGCATGGTGCTTGACTTGACAGTTTGATCCGAGGTATATATGTGCAACATACTCAATAATTATTGGTCCAGGTTCGTTTACCTGCAGTTCATTTAACAGTTCTCCTACAAGAGAGGCTCCAATTTATTCTTTTAAAAAGATTCCAATAAAAAAAGTTGCATTTGTTTTAACCAATACTTGCTTTGTGTGCATGCACTTAAAACCATTTGAAATAAATTCTTGGTTGCTAAACAATTGGATGAAGCAAGCTATAGATCAGAAATTGCACAGTGAGTTGAAGTTGATACTGGTAAAATCCACAGCAATTTGATACTACAGTATTTGTATGAACATTTCATCCCCATCACCCAAAGCCAATCATACCTCCAGGAACATACAAGTCGAATTAAATACATGGTATTGAATCTCTCAATTGCATCAAGATTGAAAGAAGATTGTTTAATGAAACATATATCTTTGCTGCTGCTTGGAAAGATATTTTTGTACACCTAATTTCTCAGAATGATAAATGAGCTGTCCAGATATGTGCTTGAATGTGTTCATTGCGCTGTTTACTTTGCTAGGAAAGTTAGGAACCTAGGTGTCTTGTTCGATCCTCAACTGTCTTTTCTTCCCCACTTCCAAGTCATGACCTGCTCTGCATTCCCTCACCTCCGTAACATCGCCCGACTCCGCCACTACCTCACCCCTCAGGCCGCTGAAGCTCTTATTCATGCCTTCATCACCTCCAGGCTGGACTATGAAACGCTCTGCTTGTCGGCCTTCCCAACTCCTCCCTCCACAGGCTGCAGATAATCCAGAACTCTGTAGCCCGTGTCCTCACCCGCACCAAACTCCGTGACCCCATCTCCTCCATTCTCGTCCGACTCCATTGGCTCCCTATCCTTCAGAGGATCCAGTTCAAGATCTTCGTCCTCATCTACAAAGCCCTCCATGGCCTCGCCCCACCCTACCAACCCGGCCGTTCCCTCCGCTCAGCTGGCTCCGGACTGCTCCATGTCCTCCGACCACCACCCCATCATTGCCGGGAGAGCCTTCAGCCACTCTGCCCCCAACCTCTGGCATTCCATCCCCCATTCACTCTGCCTCGCCCCCTCCTTAGCCTCCTTCAAGTCCCGCCTCAAAACCCTCCTCTTCCACCATGCCATTGGTCACCCCATTTCCCCTCCCCTCCTTTCCACCCCCCAACCCCAGCTCGGGTCTGAAATGCTGTACTCTGTCCAGCGCCTTGGGACGTCCTCCTGACGTGAAAGGCGCTATACAAATGTAATCTTCTTCTTGTTGCTATGAGGTTCGAAATGAAAGATCATAGGTTTAATGTGTGAAGGAGGCTTCCTTTTGACCAGGTGCCTTGGTGATTCAGTTTCAAATTGAAGCAATTGGAACAACAGCCTATGTCTTTGCTCAGGTGTAAAGCTACCTGGATGAACCAGTACATCAACTCAGCCTCTTTTTAGACAAAACCAGATTTGCAGGTCTGATTTGTGAAAGAATTACACAACTTTGCAATAGTTTAATCATTTTCAAACATACTCAAAGAGGTTGTTATGGAAGCTAAAAGTTTTACTTTGACATTTCACCATATTATTTTGGCAGGATGATGTATTTTGCATATTTCACTAATGATATGATAATCATAATCCTGGCTGTATGTCAAAACATCTCAAATCACTTCAGGTTTTTTATATAAAGTGTAGTGATTATGTATTTTTAGGCAAATGCAGCAACCTATTTCCAAATGTCCCACAATTAGTTATGATTGGGTGTTTAATTTTATCCAGTGTTTGCCAGTGACCTTGATTTAAAATCTCATCTGAAGGACAGCACTTCCCAACAAGGCAGCACTTCCCCACTACCACAATGGAGTGTCAGCCTAGACTATTAGGTTTTTATTATATTAGCATCCAATCACAGGGCAAAAAGTGGGTATAAGAAAAGAGCATTGGAATAGGATTGGAGAATTTAGCCCCAGAGAGGAAGAGCACCAGCACATGCACAATGGCTGAATGGCCTCTTTCTGTGCTGCAAACTCTCAACATCTCCTTGGGATCTTGGATCACTCAAGCACAGTATCCACTGCACTGATGCCAGCCATTTTTGCCGAGTATCCAAGTCTCTTGTTTCAAATTGTATTTGAATTTAGGTTCACCTGTTTTATAATAATCACTAAAATAAATTAAAAATGGATTTCTACTGTATTCAGAATTTTGGAGCAATGAACAGTCTCTATAGTTACATTGCCAGAATTTTCTTGCTTAAACTCATGGGCCCAGCGCCCAGAGTATTCTGGAAGTGTTTATTGTCTAGAAGACAAATTAACAATGCTTTGCATTTCACATTTAACATGTGTTCCCCACAGATACATAAAACAGAATTACTTACATTTTCAGTAAGCACCAGGGATCAGCTGTATCGGACCATTGGAAACGTAGGAACATACGAACAGGAGAAGGCTATTCAGTCCCTCGAGCCTGTCCCACCATTCTATTAGATCATGGCTGACCTGTACGTCAACTCCCAATTATCTGCCTTTGCTCCTGTCCCTTGATTCCCCTATCTAACAAATCCACCTCAGTCTTGAAAATTTGAATAGATCCAGCATCCACAGCCTTTTGGGGGGAAGAGTTCCAGATTTCCACTACCCGCAATATTGGGATTTGTATTATTCATTTAAAGGATGAAGTCTGTTCATAACTCTTAAACCAGGCCACAATGTTGACTTCATTGGAAACATTTCAATCTGTTATTTTTTTTGCAAAGAAATAATCATAATCTAGAGTCTAGATTTACACTCCAATTCAGTGCTGGAGATGCTGTTTTGTTGGAGGTGTCTGCCTATTCAGGTGGATGTTACAGATTCTATGGCACAATTGAAAAGTTGACGTTTTGTCCAATTAATTCTCCAAATAAAATAATTCATTTATTTCATGGCTGTTTGTGGAACATTGCTGTGTGTAAATTAGCTGTCACATTTGTCTAAAAAATAGTCACTGCACTTCACAGTAAAATTCTGTAATGTGCTTTGAGACATTTTGACAACACGCTGAAACTTTATATCAAATGCAAAAAATATTATTGTTTTATATAAGAATCAGCCTGCTGCAACAGGCGCAAATGGATTGAATGGCAACTCCATTTACCACATGCCTATAAATGGTCACTGACATTCTTCACTAACATGGCATGTGAGTCGAATAAGATTACTTCACAAGCTCCTTCCCATCTCTCTCTCTCTGTCCTGGAAACCAATGACCATCCCCTCACCATCTTATGAATAGTAATTTATGTCCTACATCTAGTGCACCACAGTACATTGGCAAACTAGCATTCTGTGCCATTAGAATAAGAACATAAAAACGTTTAACTTCTTGTAGCAACTTATCATATCAAAAGATTTCAAAGTACTTTGCTAGTAATTCCTGTCAAGTGCCATGAAGTGTTTTCTTTTGTAGGTAATCCATCAAAGTCAAATAAATAGCCATCACACTTTATCTGGAGGTTTTGTGCGTCTGGAGGCTGAGAGAAACTTCTCTTTTTGAATAAATATGATAAGATGTTTAATTTTTGTTGGTCAACCGGGTATCTCGATACATTCGGAAACCCATCACCATGCTCCTCACAGCTAACATGCACCTGAAGAACAGGCTCGCCTATCTCACTTCCCCTCTAATGTAATTCCCAGCTAGGTGTGTTTGTTATCGTCCTGTATTCTCTTGCTGTGCTGGATTTGTGCAGCCCAAGAGCCATCACATGCTGCTTCGCACGGAGCCTCAGGCTTTCAATACTGGAGGATTTGGAGGTCAGTCTTGTCAGCTTCCCGGGGATGGGACAAGTCCAGGCTTCTTGCGGGCATTGCTGACACTGCATATTACACAGAGCAGTAGCTGTGTTGATGTCTATGTAGGAAACAGGGCTGGTACCCAATGGAAGGTCAAAAGAAAAATAGCAGCCAATGGACCCAGGAATGGGAACATATCTGCTAAAATCATCCTGCAAAACACACATGTTTGACGAGTGGGTGGGAGTTACCAAAGACGTCAGACAACGTAAACCTCCGATATCAGAATCAGCACCTGCAGGAGAAACATATGCAACAGCTTACAAACTCCATTCATCTTCTTCAGTGTAGTAACAAAAAGCTGAAGATCACAGAATAGGGTGAGGCCCGTTTAGAGTGTGAAGTTAATCTGAACACCACTAAACACTTGTGTTTAATTGCTCTATATTTACAGATATTGACTGGAATAACTGGAGTAACACGGAGTCTTGCTACCTGGAAGGACACTTGTTTTGATTTCTGTTCTGTGCTGAGTGAGCCAACCTCAGGAGAGATGCTAAAATTAGCATCCTAGGGTGAGGGAGGAAAATTATCTGCCAACATCTTTGACCTGGTCACTATTCAGTGACATTGGTGGATTACATGCAGATGATAACAACTTGGACTTATATAGCGCCCTCCATGCCAGAAGGCATCTCAGAGCGCTTCACAGTAACGGATCCCCGGGCCAAGCCAGGGGGAAGAAGGTGACCAAAGGCGCAGTCGAAAAGAAAGGTCTTCAGCAGAGACCTAAAAATAGGAAGAGAGGGGACGAGGTGAAGGGAGTGAGGAAGGGAGTTTCAGAGCCTCGGGGCACAGTGGCTGAAGGTACGGCCACCAAGGGTGGAGCGGAGGACTCGGGGAACAAGGAGGAGGCCACGGGCACTGTTTTGAGGAGAGAGGTCAGAGAGGTAGGGGAGTGCAGAGGAGTGGAGGGATTTGAAGACAGGGGTGAGGATCTTGAAGTCAATCCTCTTTGGGACAGGCAGCCAGTGCAGTCTGGCAAGGACTGAGGTGATCGGGGAGCAGAGTTTGGTGCGGGTGAGAATGCGGGCGGCAGAGTTTTGAATAATCTGGATTTTATGGATGGTAGTGGAGGGGAGACCGGCGAGGAGGGCGTTAGAATAGTCCAGCTGAGAGGCGACAAAAGCATGGATCAGGGTTTCAACGGCTTTTGGAGAGAGATATTGGCAGAGACGGGCGATGCGTTGGGGGTGGAAGAAGGCGGTGCTGGTGAGGGACCGGATGTGGGGGAGGAAGGATAATTGAGGGTCGAACCTGACGCCTAAATTGCGTACTGGTTCGGAGAGTTTTAGGGGGAGGTCAGGTAGGTGGAGGAGTTGAGAACCATGAGATTTTAGATGTTGAGAGAGCCAAAGAGTATGGCTTCCATCTCGTCAATGTTCAGCTGAAGGGAAATTTGCACTCATCCAGCTCCTGAGGTCTGACAGACAGGCTGACAGAACATCAGGGGACTGGGGGTCACAAAGAAAGGTGGGAAAATATAGTTGGGTGTCATCTGCATATATGTGGAAGTGTACCCCATGTCTGCGGATGACATCCCCAAAAGGGAGCATGTACATCAGAAAGAGGAGGGGGCCAAGGATGGATCCTTGGGGTACCCCGCAGGTGACCGGTTGAGAGCGGTAGGAGAAGCCATTGTACAGATGTACTGCTGGTGGTTTGTGAGGTAGGCCTCGAACCAGGTGAGTGCGGACCCACTGAGGTGGATGACGGAGGAAAGGTGGTGGAGGAGGATGGCGTGATCGACTGTGTCGAACGCGGTGGAAAGGTCCAGGAGAACAAGGAGGCAGAGGGGGCCCTGGTCACTGATAGAGAGGATGTCGTTTGTGACTTTCACAAGCGCAGTCTCTGTACTGTGGGCAGGGCGGAAACTGGACTGGAGGGGTTCAAAGAGGGAATGGGAGGAGAGGTTTGTGCGAAGTTGATTGGCAACAACGTGTTCTAGGACTTTTGTGAGGAACAGCAGGTAATAACAGGATTAAGCTCAACTGCAAGGTCCAGCAAAGTCAAATAACCTCAGACATAAAGATTAGCTACTTGGGCGAGGAAGCAAATTGTCCATAGATTTGTGCCTCGGGAAGATTCGGTGTCTTTAGGAGAGGAATGGAGCAATGTGGAAAACTGTATTCCAGTAAAAGGAAAAATAATTTCAGGAGAGACAGTGAGGAGAGAACATATGTTTATTAGCACGAGGAATGGGATACTAACCATTAACTCTTGCCTATGTGTGCGTATATATATATAATAGTATATATATATATTATATATGTATATATATACAAATATAAGGGAAGGATTTAAAGATAACAACACGTTTGAGGTTACTTTGGTTGCACAAACCCTCTCACTCCTTCACAAACATATCAAAATGTTTCCAATACTGAATTACCTTCAACACCATGGAGTCTGAGTTCACTATCCCACGGTTTGTGTAATATTGTGCGATTAGAATACGGTGCGAGTGCCAGTGAACTCAGAGAGGCCAAGTCATTAACAGGGCTTTTGTAATCCAATAACAAAGGGAGCTGGTTCTCCCCTCCCTTGGGAGTTGTGCTTAGGCTCTTCCTCTCATTGTCGACTGGCTTCAAGTCTTTTTCCTGTTTCTGTTCGGACTCCGTAACCTGCCATTCGTCCTTCCCTTGACATTGTGCTATTTGGAGAGAGCGCTGCTTTTTACGAAACTTTGCTCTCCTGTTCTTGAACCACACCTAGAAGATTGATAGGAGACAAACTCCATTTCAGAATGAACATCTGACTAAGCCAAAACTGCCCATCCAACTATCACTGTCCCTCGCTCCCACCACAGCCCAATGATTAGACCATGTGATTCACTAGTAAACAGACATCACATGTACTCAAAGATAGACTGTATGCTGAGTCCTTTAATAAAAACTTCATTGAGCAAAACAATTTAATCTGGAGCAACATTATATCCACAAATCTCTAAGCAGGGATAAACGGGTCCTTCTCAGATTGGCAGGATGTGACTAGTGGAGTGCCTCAACTATTTACAATCTACGTCAATGATTTAGATGAGGACATCAAACTTAATATATCCAAATTCGCAGATGACACTAAACTAGGAGGGAGAGTAAACACCGAGGATGACATTAAAAAAATCCAACGAGATATAGATAGGCCAGGTGAGTGGGCAAATAGGTGGCAAATGAAGTATAATGTAGGGAAGTGTGAGGTCATGCACCTGGGTGGCAAAAATAGCAGAACAGATTATTTTTTAGAAGGGGAGAGTTTAGATAGTGTTAGCGTTCAGAGGGACTTGGGTGTCCTTGTACGCCAGTCACAAAAAGTTAGTTTGCAGGTACAGCAAGCAATTAGGAAGGCTAACAGTATGTTGGCATTTGTTACAAAAGGGTTAGAATGTAAGAGTAGGGAAGTATTGCTGCAACTGTATAGGGCCCTGGTGAGACCACACCTAGAGTATTGTGTGCGGTTTTGAGCTTCCTATTTACTCACCTTGGAGGGGGTACAATGTAGATTCACTCGGTTAGTACCAAGGATGAGGGGGATGAGTTATGAGAATAGGTTGAGCAATTTAGGCCTATATTCTCTAGAATATAAAAGAATGAGAGGTGATCTTATAGAGACCTATAAGATTATTAAAGGGCACGACAGAATAGATAGTGGGGGACTTTTACCCCGAGTTGGAGAAACTACAACCAGGGGTCACAGTCTTAAAATTAGGGGTAAGCCCTTTCACACTGAGTTGAGGAAAAACTTCTTCACTCAGAGGGTAGTGAATTTATGGAATTCTCTACCCCAAAGGGCTGTAGATACTCAGTCCTTGAACATATTCAAGACTGAGATTGATAGATTTTTTGTGAATAAAGGGATTAAGGGATATGGGGATAAGGCGGGTAGGTGGAGTTAGAATAGATCAGCCATGATCTTATTGAATGGCGGGGCAGGCTAGAGGGGCCGAATGGCCTACTTCTGCTCCTAATTCTTATGTGCTTATGTTCAGAGATGGACCAAAATTAACAATATAATAGAATCTGACTCTAAGCACTATATATCAGTTGTAAACTAATTCATTTCTGATAGCGGTGAGAGCACTTTAAAAGAAGCATGCACGCACACATGTACAACCACCTACACCCACACGCACACCTCCAGCCGCAGCCACCCCACTCACATCCACTAACATAGTCAGGAAACTTCCAAACAAAAATACAGCATCCAGATCTCTCGCTCTTTCTGGGAAAGAAGTTTAGATTTTTTGCCAAGTCAGGCCAGTGAAAGAGGTTACCTGCAGTCTTGCCTCGGGCAGGTTTGTGCTTATTGCCAGTGTCTCTCTCATTCCTACATTGGGATAGTGGGTTCTCTGGAATGTCTTTTCCAGGGTTTCCAGCTGCTGAGCAGTGAATGCTGTCCTGCTTCGTCTCTGCTTTTCATAGTGATGATTCCTGTATCTCACCTCAAGGACTATACCCAACAACAGAATGAGCAATTCCACTTCCTGCTTGAGGTAATATCCTTCATCACAAAAGTACAGTTATTTGTATGCTTCACACAATGATTGAAAGGGACCTTGAAAAGACCTTGAAGATAGAGGACTGTTTTATTTTCTTGTATCTTTGAACAATCTAATGTGTGCTCTAAAAAGGTGGTGCTGGCATGCAAAATGCGGGATTTCTAATGGGATTTCTTATTAAGCCACCTGATTTTTAGGCACACCTTCCAGGCTCCACTCTTGGTATTGCAATAGTGTCAAGATGTTCCATCAAGGGGACATCTTGACATCATTGCAATACTAATGCACTGTGCGTGTGTGCAGATAATCATGTCCTGCAAGCCTCTGGAGCTGACTGAAAGATTTAGCTCCACATTATTGCCGATGTATGCAGTATAAGAGGGTATTCATCACCCTGCCTTAGGTAAAGGCTAGTCATGCTCTGGGAAAGGAAGTGCAACCTAAGGAGGAAACAGAGTAATTGGACTGCCTGATTGCCCTGTATCATCTAATGCAATGATGTAATGTTTTAAACTCGAGTATAACTGTTCAAACTAAACTGAGAGAAAAAGAGTTTGAACTGGAAAATGAACATTAGTGCAACTTATACCTTTACTTTAATGAGTCTGTAAGAAAATATGAGAGAGAAAGAGAGAGAGAGAGATAAGTAAAGTGTAAAGGATCAGTGGCAGTGTTATTTATATCTAACTGAGCCTAACTGGGTAGAATTTTTCCGTACCTGTCAGGCGTTGGGCGAGTGTGAGAACATGAGGAGTCATGGGGTACAGCCCCTGCTGGTAGAAACTGTACAGGGAGGGAGGGGTACTGGAAATGGCAGAGGAAAATCTGCCAACTCCCTGATCATTCATCATGTTCATTCTCCAACCTCATCCAAATGGTCCTGTTCAAATAGTAAGCAAAATATCAGTGAGAATCAACCTTAAGAGCTACACAAAATGCAGTGAATTCACTTTACAGTATATTCTGTGAAGAGCTGAAACGTCTCAAACACGTGGTAAGGTCCTATATCAAATGCAAGGATTATTATTATACAGTGCAGAACAAAGAAAAATAATAATATTCCTTGCATTTGGGATAATATTTCACCCACAAATTATAGTAGTCAATTTGCTTTACAGTATATTTTGTGAAGCACTTTGTCTCAATGATGTGATAACGCGCTATATCAAATCAAGGATTATTTTAATGCAAGAAACTCTGAACTAAAAAGAGAAAATGCTGGAAATCCACAGAGAGTCAATCAGTGTCTGAAAGAGAAAGTTAGATTAACGATGTCGCATGAGATTGATTTATGTTCAGTTCTTGACTCACATCCTACGCTCTAGGTCTACAAGAAATGTGCAGGTCTTGGTGCTAGTTTAAAGCTCTGTCTAAAACCAGGGGTTTTATGTTCCCACCATTACAAAGGAGCCAGTATCAGAGAATAAGAAAAGATGTATCAAGAATGCAGAAGACAATGCTCATTACCACCATGGCTTGGATTTGTGTAGTGTACAGTTCCTGTTCCTCGTTCTTCTCCTCTTTAATACTGCATCTACATGCTCCCACTCGGCAATGTCATCCTGAGACACGGGGTTAACTTTCATATGTATGCGGATTACACCCAACCCTATCTATCTGCCTCCACCTTCGATTGCAGGAATATTCTGATCGATTGTCTATCAGACTTCAAGTCCTGGATGAGCTCTAACTTCTTCAATCGAGCATTGACAAGACAAAGGCTCTCCTGCTTGGGTCCTATCAGTGCCTTCTCACTACAGGCATTGATAGCATCAACCTACTTGAAGGCGCACTCCACCTTACAGAGCCAGTGGAACAACAGAGTCTTGGTCAACTCTGAACTGCCCTTTAAGCCTCACATCCGTGCTCTGACCTGTCCAGCTTTCCCTCAACTTTGTAACATCCTCACCCTAATCCACACATTCATCATTTAGAAGTTAGATTACACCAACTCTGCTCACTGCACTATCCATCTCTCCCTTCACAAGCTACAGACTATCCAGAACTCTGCAGCTCGAATCCTTTCCCACACTAGGGTCCGCAAGCTTAACACCTCCTTTTTTCAACTGGCTCCATTCGCTCCCCATCCACTAGTAAATCAAGTTCAAGATCCTCATTCTAACTTTAAATCCATCCATGGTCTTGCCCCACCCTACCTCTGCAATCTCCTCAAACACTTCCAAACCTACTGCTCCGTCCAGCTTCACATCCCCCACCCACCATCGGCAGTCAAAGCTTTCAGCTTGTCTGCCTCCACTCTGTATGAACTCCATCTCAGAAACTCTTAATATCACCTCTTCCCTCATCTCCTTCCACCTCAAGACCTTCCTCTTAGTCCCACGTCTGGTTATCTTTCACTCCCTCAACCTCCTTGCCACCACTCCCAACCCCCACCTCCAGCTCAGGGGCAAACCTTGGTCTGTCCAGTAACTTAAGGCATCATCCTCCAGAGATGAAAGTCACTATATAAAGGTAAATTTGTATTTTGTATTGTATAACCAGTACTTATCATCACTACAGAGAGCAAGCAGCTGTATGAAACAGGAAATAGCTCATGACGACAATGTTTGTACATGTGAATTACATGTAGCATAATACTTTGAATGGAACTTGAGCTCTGGAAGACAATAATACAGGATTCCTTTTTGTCCACTACCTAGCGAGAAGGACAAGTATTAAACTAAACCATACAGACCTGGAAAGTCCAAAATTCATCACCACAGGGGATGGGGAAATGCTGCATTAGCTGATCTCAGCCAGGACTTATAGGGATTATTACTGGCCCCATTGTCCAGGTTACAGAGGAGAAGAAATTCAGACAGGTTTTTGCTTCTGAGGCAACAACATTTCTTCTGGTCTTTGCCTTAAGGTCATTGTCTTGAAACTCAAGATGGTGCAAAATTCAGGAAATTCATGAATTCGGTCATAATGTGCAAGCTGGTTTTCCACCGTTATTACTAAGAGCTGTTCAACAGCACAGTAACTAAGCAGCAAAAGAGGCACTAAACTGAACAGCCATAAACATGTACAGACACTAACCATAGGGTTAAGTGTTATTAAGTGTCTCAACTGCATAAATCAGAAATGCTGTGAATGAACAGTCAGGTTAATATTAACTGATCTGCATTGTAATGTACAGGTGGGCCACTATATAGATTAGTCATGTACTAGTGAGATAAACAATAAGTAACCACTTGGGACTCACCTGGCACAGCAGTTAGCAAGTCCCTTGTTTCAAAAGAGGAGAATGTTTCTTTCCAATGAGCTCCAGTTGTAAGTGAGAACAGATGATATAAGGGAAAAAGTGTTCCAGTCTTTGGAATTACAGAAGCAAAATCTCTGGTGCTTGGAATACTCGGGCTGGTTTAACTGCAAATAAGAGTCCAATTAGAGCAGAGTCTGACTGGAGCCAATAGAGAAAAGATATTTAAGGAATGGGCTGATCTAAGTGCACCTGTCTGACTAAACAAGGGGCAGGCCTTGGCGCACAAAGTTGGGGAGCTGAACACTGCAGGAGCATTCAATAGTTTTAAAGGGATAGCACCATTAACAATTGTGGCAACACTTCAGAATGGTCTGAGGTCCCTCCAAGAGCAATAGCACTGTTCAAGATTAAGCTGCACCTTGGTTTTTCTTGTATAACTCTTCTGAAGATTGCATTACTTCCAGTATTGCTGTATTGGGTTAGCACCAAGCAGTTTACTTGATTATATCTGAAATTTCTGGCTTGCAAGGCAAAGTTTCCCTCTGAAAATAGGCCTTTTTATCTCTAGGACTCTAGTGGTTCCTATCTAGGACAAGTGCCTACGCACAAAGGGAGGAAACTAGTTTTTTATTTTGTGGCTGTTTGTGGGATATTGCTGTGCACAAATTGGCTGGTGCCTTCACCCACAAAATACATAATAACTACACTTTACAACAAAACCTGCTGAAATACTTTGAGACATCCTGATGTACATCAACTGCAAGGATTATTAGTGTAACAAATTAGAGATCAGGTCAAGGCAGATTCTGATAAAGACTCTCCTGTTAACAGATATGGCAGAGAGTGGGCAGAGACTGCAACTTGCTTAGAACAAAATAAACGAGTGAAAGTGATAACAAACCATCATAGCTGTTGTTTGCTCAAAGCATCGAAAACATGGACACAATTTAAAATTATGGAAAAACTTCACCTAAAGCAGATTTTTTACACTCTTTCAGTCTCCTTTTTTCACTCTCCCTCTTCATAATAACTAACAATAATAACAATCCTTGCATTTGATATGGCATCCTTCACATTGGGAAGATGTCTCAAAGCATCTGGCAGGATTTAAAGTAATGTGCAGGGACTGTATTTTGTAATCGAATACTTTCATTTTCCTTTTATTGCAAATCAGTGACTTCCTCCAATTCATTTGACATTATTACCAGTTGTGAAGATAACTTAGCGACTCTCGGTATTCTGTTTTATGCAGCCCACCTCCACCACACCCAAGAAAAACCTGTCTCTGTCTGATCTCACAATCCTTTAATCATTGAAAAGGTGCAAATCCTCTTAGTGAGAGAGCATTAGGGGATTAGGGGCATGTTAGCGCAACAAACTGAGTGCAGGTGGAACAAATGAAAAAGAAGAAGGAAAATGTTTTTTTCTGCCTTGTTAATTCTCAATGAATAAAATATCAACCAAAATAACAGAATGAATGAAAATAACAGAATGTTGATATGCTTTGAGCATTGTTGGAATTTTGCAATTCAATGTTCTTGCCATAGCAGCCTCTATTGAGTGATCTAGACCAGTATTCCTTCAGGATTCTTCCAAAATGAATTGCACAAATATCCTGTTAGAGGAATGAGCAATGATTAGACAGGCTAGTGCTCTTTAGTCTACAGAGAAGGCAACTCAGAGGCGACCTTATAGAGGTCTACACAATGTTAAATAGGCTTGAAAAACTAGGCCCAGATGAATACTTTACAATCCAATGAGACAATAGAACAAGAGGACCTATAAATTCAGAATTGCAAAAGACAGTTTCAGATACCAGGACGCTTTTGTTTCCCCAGAGGGTAAATAGTGAATGAAACAGGTTACCGGGAAGGGTGGTTGTGGCCAGGATATTGGACTTAATTAATGCTGTGATGGGAGGGTGGGTGTTGTGGAGGGGTGAGATCAGATAGGCTAAAGGGCTTCCTCAGAACCAATCTTCTGACCTGAAATAAAAATGAAGTCACAGGGAACACTCAGCAGGTCAGGCAGCAACTATGGAGAAAGGAAAGTGAGTCAACATTTCGGGTCCACGACCCTTCATCAGAACTGTTCTGACAAAGAGTCGTTGACCCGAAACGTTGACTCACTTTCCTTTCTCCATAGATGCTGCCTGACCTGCTGAGTGTTCCCAGCGACTTCTGTTTTTGTTTCAGATTCCCAGCATCTGCAGTATTTTTCATTTTGTTCAATCTTCTGATCTTGTGATTTAACCATAATTTCATCAAAACCCAGTCTCTTGTGATGGTTTGAGTTTGAAGGAAGAGATTATTCAATAACAAAAATAATCCTCCATAACCAGAGTTCTTTTCTATTCAGTTTTCTTCAGCTGAATCCTTTTTTCAGCTAAAAAAATCTCTTCTTGAAATCTACTGTACCACTGGACCACTCGATCTGGCTGTAGGTGTGAGTGTCTCAGGTCACACAGCCATCACTTTTTCCCTTGTCTTTGTAGAAAAGTACAGGACATGTCCTCTGCTCAGTATATGGATGGTTCCCAAATCCTCTCCACTTCTCCACTGATGATCTCTCCATTTGCCTTGCAGTCCCTTTCTTGAACAGATATTTTCACTTTTCTCCTGTCAGCTGCGTCCCTCACTCGCATTCAACAGG